ATTCTATTCTATAAATTTCTGTTATCACTTTATAAACCATTGATAAATATATTTAATTCTTTGTCTTAATTTCTTAACTTGATCTTTAAAAATTTAATCATTAGTTAATAGTTAAATCCCGTGACCCTAAATTTTAAGTCTTTTAGTTAATTTTTAGTATTTAACTTAGTATATCTTTTATTCTTCTTCTATTATCCTCTTCAATTTATAAACTAAAGTAACTGTTTACAAGTTGCTAGTTGTAAATTACTTTTTGAAAAATAAAATTAGCCCAAAAGGTTGACTAGTAACAGCATATTCTGTAGTAAAGTAAATGTCTGAAACTTTTAAGGTAAATACAGTTGGAGGTATTTGCAAATTTGAAAAATGTAGATTATACCTGTTATGGTAATTAAGAAAATTCTAGAATTTCTAGAACAAATCATGGAATGCAAAAAGATCATGTGATTAGTCATTAGATATATATATAAGCAGTAAGCACAGCACGAGCATAGTTGCATTAGTCATTAAATTTATAATACAAAAGTTTATTAAAGTTTAAGGCAGTATTTTTTTTTAACTCTACTTAATATATAAGAATAGTATAATTATCATTTAAACCAATTTGAATTATATTTTATATAAATTACAAAGGGACAGTGGAACAACTGTTTTATGATTTAATTTCTCAAAGTTATAGTAGTAATTTTATAGTCATCTCGTGTTTATAGAATTTATCATTATTCTTTTGTACTTTATTTTAAATGCAAATAAATTTACTACAAACTAATTTTTATTTAATAAACAATAAATTATTTAATAAAAAAATAAAAAATAAATTATTAATTTATTGTAATTTTTTAAGTCGAGTTTATAAATATATTATCTTTATTATTCTTTATCCATATTAATACTACTTTCATTTAATATATTTCTGATTTCTTGAAGAATATTTATTAGGTCTTCACAGGATTTATTTGATAAACTGCGAAAACGCAATCGATCCGAATCACCTAAAAGGGGAGTTAAAGAATTAATAATTGATAAAATTTGTAATTTTGTCAAAAAATTCTTGGCCTTTTGACAATTTGCCTCTTCGTATGTTACTGGAATTGGATGCCAAATGCTCAATGATATTTTGTTAATTAGTTTTGTATTAATAAATTCAATTCTCTTTATACGCACAACTTCATTAAATTTTTTCATTTCTTTACTTAACAACTATTGACTACTAATATTTTGGAAAATATGACTATCAACATTTGAATTCACAAATTGTGTTTTTCTTATCTGAACCTGAAATCGATATGATTCAGCAATAAAGCTAGAACGTACTATACGTGTTGCTCAAATCCCAAATTACTAGTATTTGGAATTTGGGATTTGGGATTTCAGCAAAAAATACTAATCATAATTTGGAATTTGGGATTTGGAATTTCAGCATTTGAGATTTTGGCATTTGGATTTTGAATTTGGGTGGCAGGTATAGAACGTACGTGAGGCCCATGAGTTTTTCTTTCAGAATATTCTATAATATTAAAAAGGTTAGTATGCAATTTCAAAAATTTGATACAATTACGTGCTGCAATTTTCCAATGCTGTTGTGAAGGTATAGGTGGAATTAATGATTTAAGTGCTTTGTTAATTTCTTCGAGTATTGCGTTGTGACCTTGATGTTAATTTGGAAATGTAGATCGTGAAGTCATAATTCTTTCTTGAATTAACTTAGAAATTTTAGGCTTTAATCGTAACATCTGTTCTTCATCAGTGATTTTGATCAATCGATAAATCGGATGCCATCGAATGGACCAAATAGGCACAAACATTTGTCTTGTAGCATGTCTTAACGAAGGTCTATTAAAACAAATCCCAATACGAAAGTTAATAATTACTTGTAAATAAAAAAAAATTTGTTTATACTTTAACTTAAATATAGGATCTGTTTGATTTTGGGTCCATTCTAAATAACATTCAACAAAAAGATTTTTTTCAGAAATGACATATGGTCACATTAATTTAGAAGCCATTGCATGTCTATATATATTACACACTGAATCTCATACCTTATGGTGATCGGAACATTTTTTAAAAAATTGAAGTTGATTTTCATTCTGATATCCTTGACATTACGTGAAATCTCTAATATCGATATTTCAATTTAACTCAACAAATGACTTTAACATGTTCATCTCTTCATGAAAAGCATCTGGAATTAATATAAGCCAAGGATAATTCTTTTTTATTTTTTGTATGTGATGATATGGTACTCCATCACAGGTAACTACAAACCATTTACGACTACTGTCTTTAATTCCAGAAATTTCTTTAATATATTCAAGAACCTTTCAAATATTAGCAATTGAGTTTGAATTAATTCCTATTGGATCAGGAACAAATAGTCGTGATGTATAAATCTCACTTTCTGGAACTAATTGTACTTCTTCAAATATATAAGAATTAATATTTATGAATTTTTTGGTTATATTTGTAATATTAGATGGCTCGTCAAATTGTTTATTTATTTCAGAAATTGTTGATAACTTATTATGGCATGTTAGGCAAACTTACTTCTTGTTATTAATGTTAGAGATTTGACAAACTAAACATTTTTTCATATACTCAGTTTGACTTTGATAATATATCAATTCATTAATTATATTTTTTTCTTGATTTTTCTCAATGCGAAGTTCCCCTAAAATAATAGTAAGATAATTAGTAAGTTCTTTATGAATTTTGTTTTTTATACCTGAACTTAAATCAAACAACTCCTCATATTGTTTTTTGCTAAACCCAAAATGTAACCAAGAATCTGTATCTTATATATTGTTACTTTGATCATAATGAAAAGTGACGAAACTTGTAACAGTATGAAATATAACCGTATTATATTCACAGTCTAAATAATTTTTTTATCTCTTTTGCTCATTATCGAAAACTAAAAATAACAGACCTTTGGGAAGAGGTAGTTGTTCTACAGCTAAACTTTTTAACCAATTGATAAATTTTTTATAGTAACCAGAACTGATGATATGATTATCAATGTCAACAATCATTTTTGATCTCACCAATGAATATTTAACTGTTGAAGTAGCCAAATTAATAGCAGATACATATTTTAAGTGTCATGATTCATATATAGCATCGATTGTTACTACACATTTAAAAATTTTTTCTCCTTCATTTTGATATTTGTTTTTGTTATCAGTAAGAGTCTCAATAAATTTTATAATAACCGGATTTCGTTCAGCAAGCCATTTGGAAGGAGAATATTTTAAAAAATTACTTAAACTGAATTGCTCAGGATTTTTTATTAAATTTGATATATCTTCAAATAAGTTACTTCGTTCCTTTTTAACAATTTCTATTATTGATTTAATGCAATCTTGTTGATCAGTAAATCACTCGTCTAATCTTTTTTTTAATAATTTGTTTTCAGATAACAACTGCTGATTGAAATATTCCAGTTCCTCAATTGACTTAAATTACTTGTTTAATCTTCTTTTTAATACTTCGTTTTTAGATAACAATTGTGTATTGAGTATACCTGCCACCCAAATTCAAAATCCAAATGCTGAAATCCCAAATACCGAAATCCCAAATTCCAAATCTCAAATTATGATTAGTATTTTTTGCCGAAATTCCAAATCCCAAATTCCAAATACTAGTAATTTGGGATTTGGGATTTCGGCAAAAAATACTAATCATAATTTGGGATTTGGGATTTGGGATTTCGGCATTTGGGATTTCGGCATTTGGATTTTGAATTTGGGTGGCAGGTATAAACACGTATAGTATTGAGATATTCCAATTCTTTAGTTTTTTTCAAAAATATTTCATATGCTGGATCTAGCAAAGATACTTGGACCCCAAAATCAACAGAAGTTTTTTCAAATGGATTTAAATTAAAAACTTGAAATTCATCATCATTAGTAGAAATTTTTAATTTTTTTCAATTATTTTTGTTTAAATCTAAAAAAATTGAATTATCAATTTTTGTTAATTGTTTAATAAAAGAACTTTTAGCAATAATATTATTATAGTGCTTTTCGCATAAAGAATAATTTTCCAAAGAGTCAAGTAATAAAGTTAATTCAGGAAAATACTTAGCTATCTCTGTTAATTTTTTTACTGCTGCATCAGCTGAAGTGTGTCGCCATTTTTGTTTCTCTTCAGTTTTGCATATTTTTAACTGGTCTACTAACTGGCTATTTGAATAATTTTTAGCAAGAAAAACAATGATACAAGATTTATCTTATCCATTTGAAATTATCTGTACTCTTATTATACATTAGAGTATCAGCAAAACATATACTTTGTCTATAATTATTAACACCTGTAAAAATATCAAAAGGTATATTAAACCAATTAGTTTTATAAGTATTATCAAAGACAACTATGTCATTAAATCTACAGTAATTTATCCGATACTCAGGAAACATCCATATTGCTTGTTGAAATTTGTTTGTTTTTGTATTAATTTTTATATTATATTGAAATTTTTTATCTTCCGTTTTTAGTTCTTCTAATATTTTTACAAAATTACTAGCATCCATAATTTTTTTTTCATTTGCTTCTTCTTGTTGATATATAAAATTATATAAATCATTATAAACCCATATAACAATTTCTTTAAATTCTTCTTTTAAAATTGAATGAATAACAGATGGATTACATCCTGCATGGCATAAAAGTAAAATCTTTTCTTGTACTTCCAATGGAATTAATCTTTCATTGGACATAAAATGTTTATGATTTTCTGTTACCATTGCATGATTGTGTTCTAAATGTGCTATGATAATGTACCAAAGACCATTTTCAGTATTAAAAGAAGTGCGAACTAAAAATTTATAGTTACAACATTGTGATGTTCTATTTCTAATATTAGTACTAATAGATGTTTTTTCTGGATCACCTTCTCGATTACATAATATAGTTCTTTTATGAATAATTCCTACTGCATTTTTTTCTACTTTTCCTAAACGAACTTGAAATTCTTTTTTCTTTGCATATTCTTTAACTGCTTCAACAAAATTATTATGGAAAGTATAAAAATCACCTTCTTTAGGTTCAATATTAGACATATTAATAGTTAAGTAAAGAAGTAAAACGAGTTATCAAAGAAACATTTATTAGGTAAATAATAACTAAGTAAAAAATAGCTATATAAACAATAGGGGGTCTAGGATAATATTTTGAACCCCCCGTCCAGGATTAATCCTAGACCCCTGGTTCAGGATAAAATCTTAGACCCCCTGGTCCAGGTTTAGATTGTCCTAGATAAATTAAGATTTTTAAAATCACATGAATTTATTGTGGCATAAAAAAACACCAAACCGATAGAATTTTTAAATCACATCCAGTTAACAAATTCAATCGAAAAAAAAAGTAATTAGAGAACTTTATATTCAACATGCCGAAAAATAAGGGAAAAGTAAAGTATCCACTTATATTTGTATTCTTACGAAATTAAGCACCTAATCTAGATCTAATATAAATCCAATTATATATATATATATATATACATATATATTAAATCAAATTCAATTCAAAATTTTAGGGAGGTAAAAACAGACGAAGAGGAAAAAATGAAAATGAATCTGAAAAGAGAGAATTAATATTTAAAGAAGATGGTCAAGGTAAACAAAAGTTATTTCCAAGTTTAATAAATTTTTTTAATAAATCTATAATGATTATTATAATTGATCCAAATAATTTTTAATAATAATAATAATTTTTTCGATAATGATGATAATAATTATTATTACATCTAGAATATGCGCAAGTAATAAAGATGCTTGGTAATGGTCGTTTAGAGGCTCAATGTTTTGATGGAGAAAAACGACTAGCACATATCCGCGGTAAACTGCGGAAAAAGGTATATATACACATATTTATGTATGTTATATAAAATAGAAATAAATATTAATGTTTATTTTTTTTTTTTAAAAAAAAAAAGGTTTGGATTAATCAAGGAGACATAATCTTAATTTCTCTTCGTGATTATCAAGACGCTAAGGCGGATGTAATTCTAAAATATACAACTGAGGAAGCTAGAAATTTGAAAGCTTACGGAGAATTACCGGAGAATGGTAATTTTATAATTTCTAAAGAGTTTTTTGAATTTATAGTAATCATAATATAAATTAATAATAAAAAATAATATTGATTCATTTTTACTTTTAGCTAAAATTAACGAAACAGATACATTCGGACCAGAAGATGATGAATGTAATTTCGAATTCGATATTGATGAGGTACATATAAATTATCATTCATTCTTATGTGATTATTTTATTTTTTTTTTTATTCGATTGATTAAATTTAAAACTTTATTTAATAATTTTTAATAGATTTAAAATGAATTTATAAAAAAAAAAATAAACAAAAATCAACAACGAAAAAATTAAGTTCAAAAAAAAAATTATATAATATTATCGCATGTATTCCTAATTCAATAATTTTTTTTTCACATTATTATTATTATATTTTCCTTAATGACTTTTTTATTATTATTTTTATTATTATTTGAGGGAAGAGAGAAATTCGTTGATTTTTTATTTATAGATAATCTATATAATCTAAATAATCTATATAATTTTTATAAATTTATATAATCTTTCTTGGGTTAATAATGGTAATAATGGTAATAATGGTAATAATTACATAATTACATAATTATGAATCTCTAACCTCTAAAAGTATAAAATATATAAAATACATAAAATATATTGTCTCATTATTATATACATACATTATTAGTTATTTATTTTTTGACCAAAATTACAGTTGTTATTAATTAGTCATTAATTAGCCATTAAATTGGTTATTAATTGGTTATTAATTAGTTGTTAATTGTTCATTGGAATTCAAAGTTTTGAACAATTGTTAAAATGTCTTGTCAAAGAAATAAAATTTGGTAAAGTTTTAATTCAATTAATAGTATAGTATAATTATTAAAATTAAATAGTTTTAGAATAATTAAACTATTGGATTTTATAAATTAAGAAAAAGAAGAAAGAAAATTTATTATTAGCAATTAAATAATAGTAGAAAAATAATAATAATAATAATAATAACAATAATAATAATATAATAACAAGGAATAATTATTAAATAAAATTTAAGAATATCTTTCTCCTGAATTTATTATTGAACCACTTCTGCTACTTTCACCAATACCATTGTGAATAACATTTTGCATATATGTATTATTATTATTATTATTATTATTATTATTATTATTAATGTTGAGATTATTATTATTAATGTTGAGATTATTATTATTAATGTTGAGATTATTATTATTAGTGTTGAGATTATTGTTATTATTAATGTTGAGATTATTGTTATTATTAATGTTGAGATTATTGTTATTATTAATGTTGAGATTATTATTATTATTATTATCACCATTATTATTTAAAATATCCAATACAACTCTGGATTTCATACTCCAATCAGTTAAAAATCTACAAACAGAAAGTTCATGTTGTTCATTAAATGAATTTTGCTTTGAGTAATTAGGTTGTTTGTTTTGATAAGCATATATATCTGTAAATATTTTATTATATTAAATAAATTATTATTGTTATATTAATAAATGATATTCATATAAATAATATTCAAATATAACTGATATTAATATAAATACCCTTTAAAAGTCGACCAGAAATAAGACATCCCAATTCATTATTAGCATTTCTTGATAAAAGGTAAGCAGCAGCCAACATCTTTTCAGCTTGATCATTTTGAGTTGCACAGAATAATGCACCTAATACTGAAAGTGTTAAAGCTTTAAGTTGATTATTAGCCAGAGTTGAAGATAATTTGAGAGATTCAAGAAGGTGTTCTCTGTAAAATTAATGAAATAAATAAATAAAATGAATAAATAAAATAAATAAATAAATATAAATAAATAAATAAATATAAGATATGATTATAAATTTACTTTGTTCGTGTTAATTCACCACACGCTAACGCTTCTAAAAAATGTAAGGCAGCTCTAAGACTAATAATATTATTTGACTGATGCATTTCTTGTTGTACCTCTTTAATTATAATATCAAGCTATATTATATATTCATATTAAAAATTTGATTAATAATCCAATTAATTTAATCAATCATTTATTAATCATTTAAAGATTTTACCTCCTCTTGTGAATGTTCTTGACTATTATTTGAATTTCCAAAAATTAAAAATGCGCGATTGACTTTTGACAATATTCTGATTTCTCTATTGTCCGATATCTTTTTTAAAATAACAAATGTAAAATAACAAATGTAAAATAACAAATGTAAAATAACAAATGTAAAATAACAAATGTAAAATAATAAATGTAAAATAATAAATGTAAAATAATAAATGTAAAATAAATGTAAAATAACAAATATAAAATAAAAGATATATAGATAACCAATAAATAACCAATAATAAATAATCAACTTTATTTACCTTTTCAATTGTTTTATAATGTGCAATAGCTTCATTAGATTTTCCTACGCATTGATTTATCATTCCAAGTGCAAGTGTTACAGGAACTTGAAATTTTGACCAAAGATCATAAGCTGTCACCCAATTCATTAATTGGGTAAGTGTCTATAAATTATTAAATGTTATTATGATTATGATTATTATTATCATTATTATATTATTATTATTATCATTATTATATTATTATTATTATCATTATTAATAATTAATAAATCAAATAAAAAATATTTACCTTTTCAGCACTAACAAACTCGGACCTTAACATGTAATTATCAATTAAATGTTGTAACATGTATGCCTTTAAAACCACATAAAAATGTTTGGATTTTATAACATCTTGAACTGGTAAATGACTGTCTTTTGAATTATATAATAATTATTTTTTAAAAATATTTTGAAATAAATCAAATATATATATATATAAATATAAATATATAAAATTGTCAATATTTAATTCAAAAATAATTCATTCATTTAAATAATTAAATAAATAAATAATATTTCATACTAACCATCATTTGAAAATATTTCTCCTATAATAACAAAAAGACGACAACATAATTGAGAAAAAAAAATTCAATTGATTATTTTCAATAAAATAAAAATTGATCATTTTCGATAAGTAAAAAATTTACTAACGTTCAACAATTTTTAATCCTTCTGTTAAAAAAATAATTGCTTTTAAAGCCGAGGTATCACCTCGATTACAGATTCCCGATATTAAAAATGTTAGAGTATATATTTCTGCTTTAGATAACCATCGAACTAATACTGATATACTTCCGGAATTCGTTGAAGAAGATAATGAAGATGTAGAAGTTAAGGAAGATGAAGAAGATGATATTGTTGTAGATGATGTAGGAACTGATGATATACGTAACTATAAAATACGAATTAAAATATGATTTGAAAAAATAATTAAAAAGTAAATTAAAATATAAATAAAAATAAAATACAAATAAATAAATAAATAAATTAAAAATAAATAAATAAATTAAAAATAAATAAATAAATTAAAAATAAATAAATTAAATTAAAAATATATATATAAAAGAAATTACAATACTATAAAGTTAATAATGTTGATAATAACCGTAGTATATTCTTTCAATTCATCTTCTGAATCTTCATTTTGACTTCGATCCAAAATATGATGAACTTCTGTTAATTTTTCCATAGCAATTTTCACATTACCCGTGTGCATATGAAAAGTAATGAATAAAAGTGAATAATATAAATGAAGTTGTTGATTGTTTATAGGAAATGTATGAGATTGTGATTGTGATTGAGATTGAGATTGAGATTGAGATTGAGATTGTGATTGAGTTGTTGTTGATGGGAAATAAACTGTTGATAATTCTGTTAAAGAATGTTGAGCTATTGAATAATTTTGACTTGTAAATGCATATTGTGTTATTGAAATTAGAAGGCATGCCTAAATAATTTAATAAATTAATAAATAATTTTTTAAAAAAAAATAATTAAATAAATAATTTAAAAAAAAATAATTAATTAAAAAATAATTTAATTAATAAATAATTTAAAAAAAATAAATAAATTAATTAATTTTACCTTCATTTCGATATCACCTCTTTGATCTGCCATTAATTCTGCTTGCTTCAATATTGATAAACATCCATTGAAATCATTTTCTGCATAATGAAAGTCCGCGCGTTGTAATAAAAAATGATAAGCCCAATCTGGCATATTACGTCTATAATAATAATAATAATAATAATAATAATAATAAATATTATAATTATTAATAAACATAATTATATATAATAAAAATTTATTATATATATAAGAATAATTGACAGAAAAAGAAATTCACCCACTCCATCGCTTCAATAACATTAGATTTCATCAGATTTCGAGCTGCTTTTAAATTATTTGTACTTTTTAATATGTTGCACTGAAGATCAATCATTTTAAATTTAATTTCTGTTGCATTATCCAGCTATTTGATTTGAATTTTTTTTTTTAAAAAAAAAATGGTAAATTACCTCAAATCTAATATATATATATATATATATTTAAAAATAAATATTTGAAAAATTACAATACATACCTTTTGTGCAACTAAGATCTAAAATTAAGATAATGAGATAATTTAAAAAATTAATTTATTTAAATAATTAAATAATAAATAAAATTAATAAAATTAATAAAATCAATAAAATCAATAAAATCGATAAAATAAATCAATAAATATTTACGGCTTTCTGCAAATGACTTTCAGATTCTCGAATATTATCAGTGAACCAAAATAATATTTGACTTAATCTAAATCGCGTTTTTAATTCAACTAATGGCATATACGTATTTCCTTTCGTGATACTCATAATTACAGCCTCCAAACATTTAATTGCTGCTAAAATATGTTGTTGATGTTGTGGTGATAATTTGGGAAATTTGGCTAATGAAGCTGTAGGTAATGAAGCTGCTTTTGATAAATAATGTTCAGCTAAATACCAAAGAAGTTGATAGGGTAATAATTGAGGTTCTTGTGATTGCTGTTGTTGTTGATGTTGATGTTGATGTTGTTGTTGTTGATGTTGTTGCTGTCGTTGCTGTTGTTGTTGTTGGTGTTGTTGTTGTTGATGTTCTTGTTCTTGTTGATGTTCTTGTTGTTGTTTATATTTTTCTTGTTGTTGTTGTTGTTGTTGTTGTTGTTGTTCTTGTTGTTGATATTCTTGTTGTTGTTCTTGTTGTTGTTGAGTTATCTGTATCTGTTGATGTTGATGTTGATGTTGATGTTGATGTTCTTGCTGAGTTATCTGCATCTGTTGATGTTCTTCTTCTTCTTGTTGTTGTTGTTGAGTTATCTGTATTTGTTGATGTTGTTGAGTTATCTGTGGTGATAGTTGTGGTGATGATTGTGGTGATGGAGATATTTGTGGTTTATATAAAGGAGGGTGTGTAGTGACACGCGTTTGAGGAAGAACTTGAGAAAGAGTTTGAGGAAGAGTATGAGGAAGCGTTTGGGTTGGAACTGTTGGTTGTGATATTTGTTGTTGTTGTTGTTGTTGCTGTATTGATATTGGTATTGATATTTGACTTATTTGATTTGAAAGTGTCATCTCTGGAAGAGAATTTTGATCCTGTTGAGAGTATTGTTGTGTCATAGTTGACATGGGTGACATATTTGATGGTTGTGACAATGGTTGTTGTTGGAATTTTGGTTGATAATGATTTTGATGTTGATGAGAAATTTGTTGAGGTAATGGAATTTGTGGAATTTGTATAGAAAGTTGGTCAATACGAGGAAGTTGTTGAGGAAGTTGTTGAGTAATTTGTTGAGAAAATTGTTGAGAAAGTTGTTGAGAAATTTGTGGAAGTTGTGGAAGTTGTTGAGAAGAAGAAGCATAGTGATAGGTTGGATTGTTTGTATGTTGAGGAGAATGTATTTGAACGGACATTGAATTTTGTATGTTCTGTGTTGTTGTTGTTGTTGAAAGTGGATAAGGAATGTTTGCATAATTTCTATCATATGGTGAAGGTAAATTATATTCTATATAATCATATTGAGTTGATAGAAAACGTTGCTGTTGTAGTGCTGGTTGAAAATGCTGTTGAAAATGCTGTTGTTGCTGTGTGTGAAAATGCTGTTGTTGTTGTTGTTGTTGTTGCTGTTGTTGCTGTTGTTGTTGTTGTTGTTGATAATATTGTTGTTGATAATTCCAGTCTTGAGTAGACCATGGTTCATATTGTGAAGGAAAGTGGTGCTGTGACATGTTTGGTACAAATTTTTATAACAATTATAATTATGTGAAGAATGATTTTTATTATTTTTTATTTCACTTTCTTTTAGAGAAGTTTGAGAAATTTGTACAAAGTATATATATATTTATATCACTAAGTTCCACTTTAAATGTTTTTTTTTTTTTTTATATATTATTTTGAGATCCAACCTTAATATATGTATGAATTGTTACACAAGAAATTTTAAAAATTTAACGAAAATCCTTCCCTGTATAATTCCAAATTTGAAACTTTTACCAATAATACCTATATTCTCTATATTATATTGTATTATTTAAATATCAGAACATAATTAATGGAATTAATCAGAAATTTATCAAAATTAATTTTTAAAATTTGGAAATTTATTATTGTCACTCCATTATATTTATTATCCTATTTACATGAAAACGATCAAATTTGCTTACGTGGTCGTATTTGCATATTATGTGTCGATTTTGCTGGATTAGCCGTAAATTTCTCGAAACGATTCACAACAGGTTTTTCGAATGTTTTTTTTAAATTATTGGTTAAAGGTTGCGATTCTTTGATATTATCATTATTATTATTATCATTATTATCATTATTATTATTATTTATGATGATAGATTCTTTAACTTTTGTTCCTTTGGATTTTTTTCGATTAGAAGATAAATTTTCGGAGGCAACAATTTTGTTGGTTGCAGTTTCATCATTGTCAATTGTAACTTCAGTAACTTTATCGGGAGATGTCTTTCTTTTTCGGCGTATTAACTTCTTAGTATTCTAATGAAATAAATGAAATAATTAAATAAATGAAATAATTAAATAATGAAATAATTAATAATGAAATAATTAAATAAATAATTTCATAATTTCTCAATTTAATTCTTAAAATATTAATATATAAAATATAATTAAGATATATACTTACGGTTTTTGAACCTTCAATATCATTTAATATTTGAACATTTTGAACGATAGCAGTTGTTCTACCACCAACTGTATCAAATATGATTTTATTACCATCCGGCATAAAGACATCAGCTTTATTTCCTTTATTCCATCTATAATGAAATAACCAAGATTTCGGAAATAAATCTGATTCGGCATTAACTTCTACAGCTGTTTGACATACGTAACTTAATTTCTCATGTAATTGGGTAATTTGTTCATTACTTAAAGTATGAGAATATTGATAAGGATGTATTTTTGATTGATATAAAACTTCATCCGCTATCCAATTTCCTACACCTGCTGAAAATGATTGATCTAACAATAACGTTTTAATTGGACAATGCCTTTTTAATATTGTTTCACTGAAATTAGTTAATGTTAGCATATCGTGTAATGGATCAAATCCAAGTTGTGATATTGGAGGTTCAGTTAAAGGTGAATTTACAAGTCGAATTCTTGCTAATCTACGTTTATTCGTGAATGCCATGGTTACTTGAGAAGTTGAATCATTAGGATCCTCTAAAACCATTGTAAATTTCCAGAAACGTGGAGGCCATTCGTTTGAATCTTTATTGACATTTCTACGATAATGAAATTTCTCTTGATTTTTGAACTTTAAAAAAGATAAAATAATTTTATTATTATTAAAAGAAATCTTATCGGTTATTATTATTAAAAGAAATCTTATCGGTTATTATTATTATTATTATTATTATTTTATAAACCCATACATGAATATCTCCGGTCATTCCAAAATGAAAAATTGGATGTGGTTTTTCATCTAATACTAAATAATAAAAAACAATTATTCTATCACACGTTGAAATCACGTTAAATCACGTTAAATCACGTTAAATCACGTTGAAATAAACTTAAACTTACAAAACCAAAAATATTTTCCTTTACGACCAGTATCTACTACAGTTTTATTAATAATACTTTTCTCAAATTCTTTATTGGTAATTTCACAAAATACCAAATCATCTTCTTGCTAAAGAATTACATAGAGATTATAAAAAATATAAAAAAAATATATATAAAAATAAAAACTCTCAAAGAGATCGAAATGAGTATATAACTCACCGTCTCAACTTGTATTATTTTCTTTCCAATTAAATTTTTATTACATGCTCTTTCAACGCGATAAACTTCAGGAAGTTCCGGCATTTTGATAAGAAATTTTTCATATATGTTAAAAAAAAAAAACTTTTAAAAACGAGTCAAATGAATCGTTAAGAAAAACGAGTCAAATATTTAAGGTTGATAGCCAACCGATTTCTGCAACACAAGTAATTTGGTTTCATGAAATAATTTCTATTATCTCACATGACCAATATTGTGCAACTAAAAATCAAATATGATGATTTTCGGTATTGGTACAACTTAACCATTCACGATGCTGATGAGTGGAAGCCTTTTATAGATTTCAAAATATTAATGAAATATCAAAAGATGGTTTTAGTACTATTCATTATGCTAAGTGGATTTATGGACCAATTATTAAAAGAAAATTCAATGATGGATATATATATATATATATATTTTGAATTCATATATAAACTACTTGAACAAATGTTATCGGTTTCTTATCGAAGATAGCTTCGTGTAACTTGAAAAAATACGAGCGAATTGAAATTAGAGGAATTAATCTAGCATTTCAAAAATATCACACATGAAATTACAAGTGACAACAAATAATACAAATAATGAATCATATGATGATATTCGGCATTTTTCAATATCGCAATTGAATTTTTCCTTTTTTTTTAATTCACCAAAAATTGAGTAAGCAAAATGGATTATGTAAAGAATGCAATCGAGAATGTAATTGCAAAAATGATTTTGATAAATGGTCCAGTGGAAAACGAAACAATTAATAAATTTATTCGTGATGCTCAACTAAATGCGGATGAGAAGGGGAAGTTAATAGAATGGATACCTTATGATAAATTTCAAAATATTAAAGAAATAGCAAAAGATGGTTTTAATACTATATATTATGCTAAGTGGGTTGGTGGACCAATTCAGTGGTGGAATATTAAAAAACAGTGATGGAGCAGGTATGGTTCAAAAAAAGTGGTATTAAAAAAATTTGATAATTTTATAAATTTAAATGAAAATTTCTTAAATGAGGAAAAGTTTAAATTAATATACAAATTTATTTACAAATATATAATATATTATTTATAATTAAAAAAATTATGTCAATTCATTTTAGAACAGCAAGTACAGATTATTATGGTTCAATCACATTTTATGGAATAATAAAAGATCCAGAAACTGACAATTATATGATTGTTTTAAATTATATGCCTGGTGGAAATTTCAGAAATCATTTAAAAAATTAATTTTGATAATTTTAATTGGAAAAATAAATATTATATTATTTATGGAAGTTAGCACTTAGTTTTAAAAAATTTCATGAATTAAATGTAGTACATTTGGATTTTCATCCTGGAAACATTTTATTATTCAAATCTAATAGCATTTATTCATATATCTCGGATTTTGGTTTAAGTAAAATAGTTGGAAAAATTCAAAAAATTCCGAAAGAAGAACTATTTTCGGAGTATTACCCTATATAGCTCCCGAAGTATTAAGTGAGGAAGAATACACCAAAGCAGCTGACGTTTATTCTTTCGCTATTATAATTTATGAAACGATTATTGGTTTTGCACCATACTATGATATTCCACATGATAAAGATTTAGCCAAGCAAATATGTGATGGATTACGACCCAAAATTCCATTTCATTAATTTTAGAATGATTATGCGTTGCTGGGATGCTCGAGTTACTTATAGACCCACCTTTGAACGACTGTTCCAATAGTTATGGAAATACTATTGTGATGTGATTATAAAGAAAATAATTATGAAATTACAATTCAAATTAAACAAGCTATAAAATCTTCAAACGCAACAACCACAACTTCAATGAATTATAAAACACATCCAGAGGCAATTTTTACCAGTAGACTTCTCAATTATTCAAGTCTTCCAAAACCCAGAAATGATGTAAAAGAACTTGAAGAATTAATCAAATCTACTTCTGCTTTAAGTATGGGTAAATATCAATTATATTATCATATATTATATTTTTTATTTTTTATAATTAAAAATATTCATTTATTTCTTTTTAATTTATTTAGTTGCTTCTGAATTGCATATGCCTGATTTTTAAATATATATTAAATATAATTAAATATAATTTACTTATTACATTTAATATAATAAATCTTAATATTATTTATTTTTTTTTAAAATAATCAATTATTTTATAATTTAAAAAATTTGGAATTGACCATAATGAATATTAAAATAATTAACTTTTTTAGTTCTGTCAATGAACCATTTGTAAGAACTGACTGCATATGATTTATTTTTTTTTTTTTTTATGAAATTTTCACATGAAATTATTAAATTACTAAATTAATAGAAATACTCTATTTTTTAAATTGAACCAAAAAAAAAAAACAATAAATAGTAAATTAAATAAAACTAATAATAAAATTGATAAACAAATTAAACAAACAAATTATAATTAATAAACTAAATAAATTATAATTAATAACAATCAAAAAAAAAAAAGGAAAAACTAATTAATAAACAATGCTTTATCTTTAATAGGGAATTTCAAATTTTCCAAACATTCAGTTACCGAATTCATCATTTGTTGTGGACCACAAACTATAAATTTAAATGATCGTGGATCTTCAGTAAGATCTTTCATATACTTAACGGTATCATTATTAGAAACAATCTCAAACACCGCATCGTCAACAGCCACAACTGGTTTCTTCTTATTATTACTATTCTTTGGTTGATTATTTAACTTACTTGTAGCTGCTGAAATTGTAGAAATTAAATTTGATACTTTGTCATCATCAGAATTATCATTTGTAGAGTTGTGATTATAAGGAAATGTAGGAGTAGTTGGAGTAGTTGGAATTAAGGTAGGTGATGAAATTTTTATCGCTGAAGAAACTGAAGGTTTTCTCCTATCTTTTAATATTGTTTTAATTGATGATGCTGATGTAGGCATAGGAGTATAATTTTTTGACATCCATTCAAATAATAGTTTTTGATTTATGTAACCTGTAAGTGCTGTCACATTATTTTCAGGTTTTTTTGATAAAACATGAGTTATAGTTAATGTTCCATTACTAGCTAAAACAATCCTTGACAGATAATCTGAATCTATTATATCATCAGTTGACGTATTAGCAAATAGGATGTGCAAGGAACGATTCATTTGCGTGTTTTTTTCATAATGATATTGGACCTATAAAAATTTAAATTAATTATTTAAGTATTCAAAGAAATATATATATATATATACACATTATAGAAAAAAAATATTTGAATAAACAAAGACAAATAAATTAAAAAGATTTACCATTTGTAACATAGGTGTAAGACCAGTTCCACCGCATACCTTTAGATTTGAATTATTTGAATTAGTAAAAAATTATTATTATTATTATTATTATTATATCTGATATGATGATGATGATGAATATTGAAAAAATATTTACCATAAATAATACATCCCAACAACCATCAATTGATTTTGGATTAAGCAAAATACGATTCGGTGGAATATTCAAAAAGAATTGTGATGATGGAGTTATAGGTGAATAAGGAAGAGAATATTGTGATGGTGTAAGATTCATACGTTCACCGAGATCAAGAGGTCCACGAACTTTAATTTCGTATCCTCTTAATTGTTGATCCTAAATTTTATTTTATTAAATTAATTCAATTAAAAAATTAAATAATAAAAAATTAAATTTAAATTATTGAAAAAAATTTTTTTTTTTTTTTTTTTCGGGAATTAATGTACAAGAAAAATTTTTTACTAACCAAATGTTGAGACATAAGACCATTTTCATAAATCTTTACAAGAATTGAGAATGTTTTCATTGAAATTCCTTGAAGTGGAGTATAAGGTCTAATAACAACTTGACCTTTAATATGACACATTAATTCAACATATTCTCCTGGTAAAAACTTGGGTGATCGTTCATTTGAATTAATTTGTTGAAAAGTGAATCTTTTGACTGGTCTTTCAGCTTTTTCTCCTGTAACAATTTCAGTATTTACAAGAATATATCTTTTAAACATATCGTTACTAGAATCTAGATCTCGTGCAAATGATGAATGTTTACTGGAATTTTGACTAATATCATAATGTGATATCACCTTGCCTATAACCATTGAAGCAAGTTTGGCTGAAGCAAATCTAGAATGATTATGTATTGCCATTCGAGAATTTTTAAAATTAATAGCATTCATTTTATCTAACTTATGAGCTATAGATGAAAATCTTAAACTTTTATTTCTATTTTGATTCATTGCTCCCTTTTTGTGTCGAGATGTTAATGTTGTTTCCTCACTTGAAACATTACTAATTATATCTGTTTCTAAAATTGTTTTGTTTTGGTCATAATCAATCGAAATTTCATCTTTTACTTCCTGATAATAAAAGTCATTTGTAATATCTAAAATATAATTAATAAAATATAATTAATATGTATAATATAATTAATATGTATAATATAATTAATATTATTAATATATAATTTTTATCATATTAAAAGTATTATTATATTAATAATAAAAAAAAAAGAATACTTGCCTGTACCAATGACACGTTGAAGAATTTTAACACCTCCGGGGTGATTTTTAATCCATTTATGAATATCAAATAATAACCCCTCTGCAACAACAAGAGAAGCACCACTTTGAGTTCTTTTGTTAATTTCCTATATCATTATATAAAAAATAATAAAAAATATGTTAAGAAATATAAAAACCAATTAATGAATTCAATGAATTCAATGAATTCCAAAATTAAAAAAAAAAATCAATATTTTAACTTACATCCCAACTATAACAAGGAAGATTGTCATAAACATCATTAGGAATATAAGAACGTATACGTTGATTTGCATCTCCGAAATTATCAAAGGATGATACAAGTTTATAACTATTGGTTTGATAGAAAATCTCTGCGACTATAAATAAGGTTACGATACACGCTGTTTTTCGTGTGTAAAGAATATATAAAAAAAGATAATCACCATTAGTGATTACATTTCATTTATCTGGGTCATCTCTCAAAACTATGTTTAATTTAATTACCTAACCAAACTAAATATGAATATCTCCAAAAACAATTAGGATCTGCTCCGTATTGACCAATTCCAAGGTAAATGTTAAATCTGAAGAAAATTAATGAATAGATTAGATTAGATTAATAACTTTTGCGATAAATAATATAATAAACAAACAATCAAAATGAATATGAAAAAAACGATTTTTACGCGGCAAGACCCATTAACAAAATTCCAAAAATCAAATGAAATTTCTTAATGAAAATGAATACACCACGATTCACGGATTCAACTGATGCCAAACACCACATTGTTAATAATCCAAGTCCGAGTTGTACAAAGACCAAAGAATAAATTATTGCACCAATTCTAATGAATCAAAATTATTAAAATTATTATAATATAATCAAATGCTGTAATATATGATTTGTAATATATGATTGTGTACTTACAAATTATGCAAATTCTTAGTTAAAGAATCTGATGAAGCAATTGCGATTGCTCCAAATGTAAAAATAACCATACTTCCGAAAAATTGAAGATTTTTATGATGAGATCTGTGTTTATCACTGTGTTTCATGTATCGAATAACGAAAATTGATGCTATGAAAGAAATTTTTTTTTTTTTTTGAAAAAAAAAAGTTAGCAATAATATAATATACGTACATTAAAATAAAAATAAAAATATCGAAATTTATTAAATACCTGGAAATATGACACTATATAGTATTAATTTTAAAGAAAAGAAAAGTAAATTAGTAAATAACCTTATTTAACCTTTTTTTCTAACTTTATTTAATTAAACATTATTTTAAATATTATTACCTCCAAACCACTATCATGGCAATTCCATGTACAAATAAAACATTTCGATTATTTGAAGAAGTTACTTGAGCAACGTAATCTGTATCAAATAAATTTGTATCTGCTTTATTTCTGTTACCAATGTGAGAAGATAAAACATTTGTTCCAGGTTTCCAGGCACAAAGTACTATAATAATTAATATATAGAAATAAGTGATAAATAATAATAATAATAATAATAATAATAATAATTCCAAAAAAAATGATAATAAATTTAAATTTTAATATAATTACATGTTATGGACTCATCATTAATAGTAATTTTATTATCGGCTTTTAATGGATACGTGAATACCACTTCAGAAATTCCATTATTTACAGATGATGACAATATTTTAACTATTTGTACGTCATCAAGAACAGGAATTTGATTTCCAACAGATCGATAATTTGCTATTTCAACACTTGAAGTATTTGTATCACTAGTTCTAGCAATAATAAAATCAGCTCCAATCATTCCTCCTCCTCTACTAAATCCAATTCCAAACCATGCTTTTGTAGTTTTGATAGTAAGTTTAAATGTGATAAGAGGTTCATCAATTTTCCATTTAATTTTATACATTTCATCTTTGGAACATGTAATCGAATTTGAATATTTTTCGTTATCATTACTATTTGAATTATTAGATGAAGTTGTCTGAGGTTGAATTATCCAGACATTTTGTGGAATTATAAATGAAGGTGCACTGTTACGAACAATTATATCTCGAAATGATGTACGATCTACTTCTAAGATTTCGGAATCATTGAAACCGGCATCTGATGATTTATAAAAAAATCTATCTGAATCTCGAATTAATGTCCACTTTTAAAATTTTTTAAAAATATATTAAAATTTAAATTATTTAATAATTTCTCGTAAATAAATATTAAAAAAAACGTACATATATACATGTAATAAATTTTTTTAAATATATTTACCTGTTCTATCATATTCTTGAGAAATAAAGGTCCAAAATTAGATTCCGAAATATGATCTTCAGCAAGACCTCCTACCATAACTTCTACTTGATCAATATTTGAATAAGTCGCGTTTAAACGTTCCTGAACTTCTGTATTATTTGTAATATCTGACCAACTATTAGCTTTGGTAAATCCAAAATTTACTCGTGCTTGATTATATTTTGGAAGTCCTTGATCTCTACCACGAAAAAGGTCAATACTAAATTAAAAGAAAATTAAATTTTTTTTAAATATATGTTATAAATATATGTTATAAATATATATGCAAAAAAGAAAATAAAAGAATTATTAAATATTAAAATATATAAATACCTGGCAATATCATTTACTGTAGAGCTAGGTCTAAAAGATCTCATCGAATCAGCGTAAAATATATCAACTTCTTCTTGTCTAAATGATAAAGCGTTAATATTAAGATAACTAATCCAAATCTAATTATTTCTTTTTTTTTTTTTTTATGTACCTTTGAAGTGATAAACTTGCTGCCACTCTTGACGCCCCAAATTTTTCTAAAAGTCCAAAAGAAAGTATGTCATTAAGCTGCAACGAAAGAACTGTTTCTCCGAATTCATTTACGATTGAATAATCATCACTTTATAAATTAAAGAAATTTATAATATATTTATTTATTAATTAATATTTAAATTGATTAATATTTTATAATATTTCGGAAAATAAAAAATGGTAATATATATTATTAAAAATTTCTACCTGACTTCGGAATGTCCGTATCTTGTATTTTATTTAAGTTAATCATATTATTCAAATATAAGTAAGTTTTAAGTTTATGAGAAATAATAATAATAAATTAATTTATTTTAAATTTATTACCTAAAAGTAGCAGCAGAGAAGAATGTTTGAATGCCAGGTGTTAAATCGGGATTATAACCTTTATAAGTTTCTAAAGGATTTCCCAATATTGTTGGCACTAAATAATAATAATAATGATATAATTATTATTATTTTTATTATAAATTCTTGAAATTCTTGAAATTCGGGATTTTTTTTTTTTTAAAAAAAAAGTTTAAATAATGATCCAACTCACAATATTCCATGAAAGTAGTTCTTTGTAAAAGAGCAATTACCCATTTTCTTGCTTCTTGGAAATATTTTTCATCATCCCAAGAATTACCATACCAACTTCTTAAATCATTACATCTACGATTATGTTCTCTCAAAAATATTATCTGGAAAAAATTAGTAAAAATATTTCCACCTCTTCTTGGTGCATATCCAACAAGATATTTTCCATTTGAATCTATTTTTTTTTTGTTGAAAAAAAAAAATTTAATTATTTGATTTATATATATTTCATTTTTTCTATTTATTTTTCATTTTACCCACCCTTTGGAAGATATCCAAGTTTGGCATCTTCAAGATCTTCTGCATATTCTGATTCATAATCTAATAACATTTTACACATATCATTAGGATCTCGAAGCTCAGTATTTAATTTTGTTGAATTGGAACCATAAAGACTTGATCCATCAAGAAATGAAGTAACTTCATTTATAGTTTTTGCTTTGGGACCATTGTATGAATGCCAAGTTCGATTCATCGGAAGATATGTCTTTGAAAAAAAAAAATTAAATTAACATAAATTATTATTGTATTGTATAATTATTATAATTATTGTTATTTATATTTCAATTATATTAATTACATCATTTATCGAAGTTAAGGATTCTTTGCCATATGAGAGATAAGTAGAATCATCGGATGGAATCATAATTGCTTCGGGATATCTGTCTAATGATTCTTTAGGAGAAGAGATATCAAATGCTAGCCAATCCCCAAAGAAGGTGTTCTAAATTATTTTTTTATTAAAAAAAAAAAAGATTTAGTTGTTTCTTTATCGTTATTACTTAACACGTGACTAGCCTCAATTTTAAATTCGTTTTTTTTTTAAAAAAAAAAAGTTCTTTTTAAAGTAATCATTAAATGTAAACATTTCATATATCTCTAGATCACTTCTTTTTTTTTTTCACGCACGTAATCGTCAAGCGAGAAGCGATGTTTACCATATGAGATGCATTACGTTTCGACTTAAATTTTTCACGAAAATCAATTTTAAATCGATCGTCAATTTTCATCTGAATGCCAGTAGTTCTATCACTTATACACCTTGGCATTGGTAATTGACCTGTTGTTTCTGAATTACAAGATATTTGAGCCGAAGTTCTGGAATAATTTCCGGGGCATAGAAGCATATCTATATAAATATATGTATATATGATAAGATATGTATCAATATATAGATATAGATATTAAACTTATTAAAAATATATATATAGAAAATAAATTTTTTTATAAGAACATACGTTCCGAACTGTCATAAAAATTCGGTTCATCGGTTCGTAATAATGGTTGATTGATTGAACCGGTATCGGGATTTTTGAGATTATTGTCAGTACCCTAAAAAGGAGAAAAAAGGAGAAAAAATGATAAGAAATACACAATATATATAATATAAAATATTCAATGAGTTTTTTTTTCAATAATTACATCTAAAGAACGATATTCGGCTTGTACAAAATAACACCCTAAAAGAAACAAAGAGCAGAACCAAAATAAACTTTTCATTTTTTTTTATTATAATTATTAATAAATCTAATAAATCTAATTTATGAATGGATCATGTGAATTTATATTTTTAGGATTAATGAAAGAAAGGAATAAAAAAAAAAAACGAATATTTTTTTTTTATTATTAAAAAAAGGAAGGAATTAAGTTTATATCGGTAGGAGAGAAGAGGAAGAGAAGAAGAAGAAGGTACCCTGAAGAATAAAAAAAAAAGATCATAGGGACTATATAAATTAAAAAAGTACAAATTGTTTATTTTTTTCATGATATAAATTAAGTTGATAATCAAAGAAACTTTTCATATATTAATTTCTATAAATGAATTTACACATTTTTACCTAATGTAAAAAAATTAAATTTTCAAGAAGCGATAAACAAGTGGGAACCAACCATTTCTTATTGAAACGGTAATACAATTGATAAACATAACTGCAAACTAATTATTTCTTGACGGATTAGTGGGTGAAGAATTTAAAAACAAAATGTTTCGTGAATATTTGTTTGTTTGTCGTATTCATCCGTGTGTGTCATTTTAAGTAATTGCATACCTACATCTACACCAGGAAAAATTAATAAATTTCTTACAAATTAATTTATGAGATAAAAATATCAATTTATAAATTTAAATTATTTTATGTAACATTATGTAACTTTTTATTAAAATGTTAATTCGTTCGATGAGACCTTTTTTTTTATACTAATAGACTAATAAGGAAAGAATTAAAATATAACAATTGTACAGAGTTCTCTACAATACAAAAGTTCGCGATCCCTTTCACGATTATCGTTACAACAAGTATATTCATTAATCATTACATATGCATTGTTTTAAATTTCTATTTATAGATATTTTATATCATTAATAAAATTTTTTTTTTTTAAGTTAGAAAAGAAATAATAATTATAATTATCAAACATTTCAAATGTGATTGATAATTTTTTTTTCTTTCGAGGGGTAAAAAATCTTATTTGCTATGACTTTCTTGCTGGTGAAATCTTTTCTTTTTAAAGCTTACTTGAGTTTTAAATTTTTTTTTGTGTATATACACATATATGCTGTATAAATATTATGGGATAAATGAAAATATGTAAAAAGAAAAAAAGGAGATAGGTTTATAAAAATATATATAAAAGGAAATAATAAATGAAATTTATAAAAGAGAAGAAATTTAATTAATCTATAATGAATATATAATGGATGAAAGTGGAAGGTAAATGATTACATGAAGTAGATGGAGAAAAAAGGGGAACGTGTGTGAATAAATTTACAATTTTGAATTTAAATTTACATTTTTTTTTCTTTAAAAGAAATAACTCAACCATTTCTTTTCTTTTTTTTTTTTTTTTTGAAGAACATATTCAATCTAAGATGTCTAAATGTATGGAACCTTCTTAATTGTGTTATAATAATGTATATACTAATTTACACAAGTGTTAGAATGTTTCTTTTTTAAGAGGAGCATTTTCGTACCCGAATAAATTGAACAAATTGAAAAGATGGGTATTAAATGCGCTGTGAGTGGGGGGGGGGGGAGTTTCAATTAGGTAATTATTTTTTGAAACGGATTCCTTCTTCTAATTCTTTCAAAGAATTCTTTTGTATTTTTTATTCTTCATTTTTAAACATTTTTTAAACATTTTTTTTAAACATTTTTATCAAATATAATCATAAATCTTGGTAGTGTCGCCTTTTTTTTTTTTAAAGGTAAAAAATTATTAGTATAAATAAGATTATATATAAGATAATGACAAGAATATTTTGAATATAGTACCTTATTTTTACGAACTACTAAAATCCAATCGTGATTTGGGCTAATTACATCGACCACGTATACAACTTATTTATAGTAAAAATAAATATCATGATGTAAGTAAATATTAAAAAATTTGATATCCACGTGTTTTTAATAACAAATACCTTGTGTCCTCGCATTAGTATTTGTGTAATCATTAGAAATTAAAGCACTATATGCGAACCACATTTCTATAAAAAAAAGAGTACAAATATTATAATTAATTATTATCTAATTCTTATTTGAACAACCAAATTATTATTATTATTATTAGTTACTTACTTTTTGAATGTCGAGAAAACTTTTTTCTATTGCCTTTCTTTGCAATTCCACAACATCCACATCCTTTCTTACAAAAATTCAAATTATTATCCATTAAAAATCTTTCAGGATCACAATCAAAAGATGAAGTGGTTCCATGAAACATTGTATGTGTCACGTTATCGGTTGATACACCTAATTTTTTGGCTACTTTCATTTTATAATTTTCATGAACTTGTACTAATTTTGATGGCATATTTAATCTAATAATTCCTTTAATATTGGCTCGAGGAATATCGGAAAAAAACATATTCTTTACCACCGTATAAGCAGGATCAAGTTCACATAAAATAGACATTCTAGTTTTTTCCAATGAATTATTTGAATTAATTGAATAATTATTATTATTATAATTGTTATTATAATTATTTGAATTAGCTAATGATAAGGTTGTTATTGTTGGTGATCGATAATGTGAATAATGTGAATAATGTGAATAATGTGAATAATGTGAATAATTTGGATAATGTGTAATTAAATTGGTAACATTATCACATTGTGATGATGGTCTCGCTGTAATTGTTAATATATTATGACAAACTTCGCATTCTCGAGCTGTAGGTAAATTTATGTAAGCACAGGTTTTACATTTTCTCTCTTTTTCAAGTAAAATTGTGACTGGTCTTGAATTGGTTGTTGATAAATTAGTTTGATTTGTTAAATTTTTAAAATTTAAGAGGTTAATTAAATTCGAAAAATTTGAGGGTTCGGTTATGTTCGTTAAATTATCATTTTGATTTGTAGAAGGAATATCTTTGGAAATAGAAGAAGTAATGGAAGGTTGTAAAGCATCCAAAAAATCTACCTTTTCCTCATCATCATCCTCATTATCACCATCGTTATCGTTATTAATATCGTTTTTAACATCATTTTCGGATGATAATTTGGGGATGGTGGAGATACTAGTATCATTGTTATCATTATAATCATTATAATCTTTATAATCTTTATAATAATCATAATAATCTTTATAATCGTTATAATAATCATTATAATCATTAATGTTATTATTATTATTATCACCAATAATGAATGGAATTTTAGAAATGTTAATGGTTGGAAGTTGTGGAAGTTGTGAGTATAATGAAGATCGTGAGTGTAATGAAGATCGTGAATATTGTGATTGTGAAAATTGGGTTCGGATTTGTTTTTCTGGCATAACAGTAAAGTTGCAAGTTGTTTCTTTTGATTGCATTATCTTTAATGTAGTACTATTTCGTGCATGTTTCCCTGAATTTCTAGATCTTGTAACATGTCCAACACCAACACCATGAAGAAAATTATTTTCTTGTATTGACAAAGAAGAAGGGTAAACAATATTGTTATTATTATTATTATTATTATTATTCTTATTATTATTTCTGAAGTTGGTTGAAAATTCTTTGGTTAAAGTATCTTCTCTATTATTATCATCATTATCATTATTATTATTATTATTATTATTATTATTATAATTAAAATTATTACTATTATTATTATAATTATAATGGTGTCGATCTTCTGGTGGTTTTTTAAAAATCCGTTTGGTCCATTTAGTCAATGTTTTTAATAATTTTTTCTCTTTATAGCTACCATTAAATTTTAAAGAACTTAATTCATTATGATCCATTTTTTTATATTAAATTTATTTTCTTTTGTCTTTTATTTATTTATTTATTTTTTTGATGATGAGTTATGAGAAACAAACAATTACAAAGATACGTCGTAGAATAATCTAAAGGACAGTTTTCTAGTCACCTTTTTTTTTTTTAAACAAAAAAAAATTAAAAATTAAAATAAAAATTTAGGAGAAAAAAAAACTACCGATAATATACAAATTCTATAGAATTCTTGATGTTTATATATAAAACGAATGACTAATATATTTGAATTAATATAAGTTACAATACATATGTAAAAAAAAATTCAAATTAGAAATTTTTTTTTTATTACTACAATTCAATTACACAGTACATTATATCATAATATTATACTGTGTTTTTATACTGCTTATATTTGTTATATAATCAAATACAGTAAATTATAATTAAATATAATAAACATAAAATAAAAAAAAAAGAATAGAGAAGAAGATGTTTTGTAAAAAAAAATAAATCGATAACAAAGAAAATAAAATAAAATAACTTTGCCAATTTTGTGCATATTGTGACACTTCCGACTATGAATATTTTCTGAAAATTTTTTAAACAAGGATTTGAATTTAGATGGTTAGTGATAACTTTCATCCCCATAAAATCATCTAAAAATCATCAAATTGTCAACAACGTGTGCGTTAAAATCATGTGTCATGATTATTCATATGTATTTTATTTTAACATTTTATTTTGTATTTTATTTTGTATTTATTTTGCATTTATTTGGATTATTAATTATACATTCATTTATTTATTTTATTTATTCTATTTTATTTTGTTTTATTTATCTTATTCTGAGGATGGTGAGACGAAGACGAAGATGAAGACGAATGATGATGATTATGAGAGAGAAAAGAGGAGAAAAAGAGAAATAAGTCGAGAAATAAGAATTAATTTAATATGGATTCATTGAAATTATTTTTTTTTTATCTTTATATACGATATTCTTTTTTTTTTTTTTTTTTACTTTTCTGCAAATCTAGGTTATTTTATTTATGCTTGCATTGTGCGGTAAAAACAAAAAACAAAACCAAAATAAATTTGCTGCAAACCATGAAATCGGCATTACACAAAAAAAAAAAATAAAAAAAATAAAATAAAGGTGATTAATTAATTCAAGTAATTTGAGTAATTCGAGTAATTTGTGAAATTCAGTAGCGTAGTATAGTAGAGCATGAACACAAAGATAATTTCGGATGATTTATTAAAAAAGACCAATATCCAGCAGATGTTGATCATATCAACAATACAAATAAAACTATGAAAACCACCAAATAAAAACTCCGGCAGTCGGGAAACTTAAAAGTCTTTGAACGATACGTGATTCAACCTACTCTTTCGGGGAGAATGCGCCAAAGTGCTTGGCGTACATTTTGATTTGAACACAAAAGCACAAATAAATTTTATCATATATTATTAATACCATTATCATCATTGTTATTGTTATTTATTATTATTATTATTATTGTTAAAACTTGCAATTTATAATGGATAATGAAATTTGACAAATGTGGAAAATAATATTAATATTATAAAATGTAATTAAAAAAAAAACGTAATTAATGTTGTAATTAATGTTGTAATTAAATGTTGTAATTAAATGTTGATGTTGTAATTAATGTTGTAATTAATGTAATGCGAGATAATTTACAAAAAAAAGCAAAAGCAGCTTTATCTATCACTTATCTCTAATACATTTATCTATTACATTTATTTACATATTAAGCATATGACAATATTTCACAGTAAATCATAATAAAAGATCATGATAATAATAACAATAATAAAAGGTGAAATTATTTTTTTCATCCGTTATTCATAGGAAAAAATTAAAAAAGAATTTTCTGAAACAATTATTTCATCCTCCTTAGAAAGTTTTCATTAATCAGTATACTTCATATACTTTTATATTATACTAAATGTATACTTCTAAATAATATCATATCATTTATCATTATATAATATATTTAATTAATTATTTTTTTTCAATCATCATTAATCATTCCTTAATTCATAATTTTTTCATTTATTGAATTACTTTTCATTTACTTAATGATATTTCTAATCGTGTATTAACCATATACTAAAACCGTATGACCAATTCTACAAATGTTCCTTGCTGATGAAGAGATTGTTTATTATTATTAATTATTATTATTAATTATTATTATTATTATTAATTATTATTATTATTATTATTATTATTATTATTATTATTATTGTTATTATATTTTTAATAAGTTTAATAATATCAATATATTATAATAAATATCTTTACAATGATATCATGATGTTTTCAAAGTTTCATATGCAACTTTCCTATCAATTATTATTATTTATTATTATTATCCCTTGCTTGCTTATTTGTTTTGTTCACTTGCTTTCTTGTTGTTGTTATTTGTGTTGTCGTCGTTATTGTCTTTGTGGTCGTTGTTTATGATACGCAAATTTCTTCTCGAAAAAGAAATTCAATTATTCTTTAAAAAGAAATAAGATTATTCGTATCATTATTCTGATTATTCTTCAAAATTTTTCGTTGTGAAATTTGAACTTGAAAAATAAAATTGGAAATTTTTATTATCCATTATTATCATTCTTTGTTATCAATTTTTTTTTTTTGAATAATATAATTTTCGCGTCTCAATATGAATTTTTTATTATTATTAGAATAAGACAATCATTCATGAATGCACATTTATTAAATGCGGAGGTGACTTTCAACCTTAAATTAAAGCTCTTGACATGTCATTGAAGCGAATTTCAGGGGTTCAAAATTGTTGGGTGCACGACAGTACAATATTGCGGTCGTATATGGTTGACATTTTTAATCCATAGGAGTAGATGTTAATACTGGAAATGATAAATCTTAATATGGCTTGTATGGCTTGGCTTTAAAAATTCCTGACTTTCTAGTCTTTAATGAGTTATCAATAAAAAGGTTCATTGGCAAACTCCTGAGTTTTGAGGAATAAGATGTTTCAAAAAAAAAAAAAAAAAGAAAATGTTATTCCAGGCCATCTAATTTTTTTTGCCAAAATTGTTTAGATATCAAAATATCGAAAGCTTATAACATTACGACATCTACAGTTAATTTTTCTATCATTTGACCCTTGAAATTTCATAGTATGTTCATATATTATATTGTTATATATTATAGGCTAGTTTTTCGTCGATCATAACAGATATATTACAATAACTGTACCTTATTAGGAAAATACTCGTATAGATAATTACTTTGTTCTGTATTTATTTTATTTATTCGATTGTTTAAGAAATCCGGATTTTATGATTTCAAAATGAATAATAAATTATATAAACTATCACATGAATAAATTATATAGATAAATTATATAAATAAATTATATATACCTTTTTAATTATTTAATTTTTACTGTAATAATCCAATTATTCTCCTTATTTATTTTTATTTTATTTTATTTTTTCAAGTTAAACACAGTATAAATGTATAAATCAGATATAGATCAGTTATAGATTCAGAAATTGGAATAAATAATTTATGTTTGTTGTTGTTGTTGTTTTAGAGTGTTAGAACAATTTTTACATTTTAATACACCTTAATGAAATATTTTTTTTTGAACATTTTTATTTTTATTTTTTTACATAAAAGAGAACAATGGACTTGTATTGTTTGACTGCATCTATTGCATCTATTCTAGTTTCAACTATATATAATTTTGTTTTCATTATATTTTGAATAGTAATTAGCAATAATTAGAGCACAGTAAAAATAATTTATATAAAAATAATTTATATAAAAATAATATAAAAATTATATATAAAAAGGGTAATTTGTTATTCCTCACCCGGGTGAGCCTGTGAAATTTTTTGAAAACGTAAATTCATTGGTTCGTGTAAACTTATAATTAGATCCTTTTTTTTTTGTATACTTGAATAAATAGAATCTCTCTATATCTCAATTAAAAACTATAATTTAACAGTAGGCACATTTTCCCAATTTCAAAAACAGTTTTAATTACATCATATTTGTTCATATCCGGAGTTTCAAGATTTATATCGCCAAAATATCACTGCCACAAAAATCTGCATAAGGCTGTTGGCAGTTATGCATTTAAGACAGAGCTGTTTCAGGAATAATTGAATTGATGAGATATTTTTGTTTTTTTTTGTTAATTCTCTTTATCAAAATCACATTCTAATTAACCACAATACCGTTTTTCCAACTATAATATGAATAGTATTTGGTTTGGTTGAATTCACTTTCAGACCAATGTCTCTGCCTCTTTCAATTTTCGGTTATATCACTTGTCGAATTCTAGAGAGGCACCACACTTTTTATTTTCACATTACAATTTTTACATTTTATGAAGTAAAGGCAATATTTTTAGATGTACGATCCATTTTGAAATTCTATGTCCACCACAGAATGAGCAGGTTCTGACTGTATGAGATTATTTATTGCAGGTGGAAAGGTTGAGAAAATAGGATGCTTGAATTTATGATCATTGTTACGTAATTATATGATAAGCTGATCTCTATTTTTTCGAATCCGATTTATTATTCAAGTAAGTATATTGTTTTGCATTTAGGAAAAGGGATTAATAACAGTAAAGATTAAAAAATATACCCCCCACAACGATTAGTAATGAAAATAGATTGAAGTGTTGGCATTTGAGTACAGACAATATTACATTTAAATTTTAATCATGTCATTAAATCCAATAATAAAGTATATACAGTTTCCAACAACATATATGTAATCAATTTTATTTAATAAAGTTATTGCAATAAATATCTTATAATTGAAAAAAAATAAAATAAAGTTAAATTGAGATCAATAAATTTTAATGAAAATCATCGAATAAAATACACAGGTCAATATCTGGTAGCAGATAAGTGACAGATAGGTGTAGTATTTATATGGAATATTGAGTACTTAATATGTGATGTAAATGTTTTTCACTTATATCAGATATGATGTAAAATGTATTTTGCACATATCAAGTACTTTGATAGGTGCCAAATATTCTGCATAAATATCACACCTTGCCTGCAGATAGGTGAATAGTTAACATTTCAACCTGTGTACATAATGCTCTCCATTGTTAAGTATTATTAATTTTTCTGATGTTTGAATAAAAGGAACAACCAATCTCAAGATATGAAATATTTTATCCAGGTTACATCTACACTTTTACAATGAAAATGTTGAATATTTTTTAAAGTCTTTAAGAAATTCTTGATACAAGCACAAACAAAGATTTTTGGAAAGATTTTTGATAGAGATATTTCAGGAAATATTGTAGAATCATTGGTCAAATGAAAAATAATAAGACAGTTTATTATATAGAATTCTTTGATTTATGGTTGTATCATTTTTACAGATTGTGAGTTTGATATTCAAGGAATTTTTATCAATAAAGCGTCGTGTTACCCAAGTTCAATCCTTTATCTCTTTTAATTTTTTTAAATAGTATTTTCGAGATCTTGAGTTGATCAGGATATTTTGATTGAAAAAGATTTCTAATTGTTGTTGAATCACAATGACCATAGCACAACAAATTTCTTGAGGAAAATTTTTGTAAGCAGTAGCAAACTTTTGTAGTTCAATAAAAATGTATGATTATGCTCATTATTAAATGTTGTTACATTTACTATTGATGAATTAACTACGTTTATCAGTCACACGAAAGTTTCTCATTTAATATTCCTCCTAAATCATATTTAATTCTCTTTATCTATAGGTACCGTTTGGAAATATTTCAGTGGTTTTATATTTAATAATAACACAAAGTGCGTATTTCATTGAGGTTAAATCACCATTACAATCTTTAAATCCAAATTCAACTTTGTTATTTATCAAATAATAAACAAATACAACAAACACATGCATCTAATTTATTATTTTATAGTCACATGTAAATATTAATGATAGTACAACTCGAGTCAACAACTTTTGGGAATTATACAATATCTTTTATATTTTTTTTTATAGCTTGTTTTGCATTTAATCCATTTTTGTAAGCATCTATATACCTAAAAGATTTTTGAGCAAATATTCTAGTTTGAAGTAAAGAAACTGAATCCAATGTAGTGAACAATTTGTTACAAACCTTTCCAAGTGTAATCACAATTAGTTGCAACTAGTTGCAACTCCTGTAAATAATTACAATAGGTATCTTTACTTCCAATATAATTAAGTTCATAATGAAATTTGGGATAAAAAATAATTTTGTGCCCTTTTACTTCTATTGGTTCTTGAATTAAACATTTTTGAGCAACAAAATCTGGTTGTTTTTCTAAAATATTTTTCATACAGCAATTATTTTCTTCTGAATTCTTATTTTGACATAATCCTTTTAAATTGAGTGTTAATAAATTGCATTCATATAAAATTTGTCTCATTCCTTTTGATTTACCACAAAGTGAAGAAGAATTTAAATAATTACCAGAAAAGTTTATAATTCGAATTTGACCATTAAAAATGGTATCTCTTATTATTGGTTGTTTACCGCCAGATCCCACATTCATATAATTTGCAATTAAAGCGTCTGAACTGATACAAAAACTGCAATACATCCAGGATGAATTTTTTCAAATATTGGAATTGTATGTTCAACTATCTAAATGTTAACTTTTAATTATATTTTCTTATAATTTTTTTTTTTGATAAAATAAATAAAATAAAATTATTGTTTAATTAATAAATCAATATATCACTAACCATCATTATTTATTCCAATATTCATTAAATCACTTACATGAATTGTAATGAATTTTCTTCTTTTGGTGTTCAACTAGATAATCTCCATCATTGGAATGAAAAGTTGTTTCATCATGTGTTATTAAAATATGCAATTTTTATTATTAAGTAATTCAGGATTAAATTAAATTTCAAGATTATCTCTATTGAATTTTGGCATCAATTGTTGATATCTATATCTAAAAAAAAAAATTATTAAATTATTAAATTATTATTAAATTATCATTAAATTATTATTATAATAATACTTACATTTCCATTTCTTTCAAAAACTTTTTTTGATATTCAATAATATCTTCCCTCAACATAAACACCTTTAGTAAATTTTTTATATTCAAATCCCATTTCTTTTGAGCCATTTTCATGTTGTGACTTTATTAATTAATAAAAAAAATATACATTATAATTTTTCATTAAATAATAATCATTTGTGAAAGGAAAACACTAGATTATGTAATCTATAAATTCAGCAACATAAAATTCAAAACTTATTTTTTCGCAAATATGAAGCCACTTGAACTTGAATATCTTCATCTAATGAAGATTTTATTTTTTGATGTTTTCCTTGTTTAGAAATGGGAATATTCTCTCCTTTTTAACAAGTTTTCCCACTCCTGTATGTAATGTGCAAAGTTATTACCTTTATTTAATTGTTGTGCAATAGAAATACTAGCTTTTATTTTTTGGTTCATTATGATTAATAAGTCTAAGATATTGTAATACTGCAGTTACTTTTTAATTTGTAAGGTGCATCAAGTTCTTTTTTTAAAATAAATTTTTGAAGTGAACAAATGCTTGATTATTAGAATATCTGATTCTGAATCAAATTTATATACTTCAGAAGTAAAATTGTTTGTCCGACTTGAGTTTTTACGAGTAAGGTGGCACATAATTTTTTCATTCCATCCAATAAAAATTTCGTTTTAATTATGACATTAATTAATTTTATTGGATAATTATGTCGCGGGCCAAAATTTTAGGGTGATAATTAATATATCGTAAGATATCAAATTACCGATTAGATTAGCCTAATATAGAAAATAGATACAATTTACTTAAATTTGTTGGGTTCGAACTGTACAATTTAATGAGTCGTTAATTCGGTGAGAAATAAATTTCTCATGCAAAAATTATTATTTATAAAAGCTATATATGTATGCTATATGTATATTATTTTGTATATTTGTGTACTGCGAAGTTTTATATTTATATTTTATATTATTTTTCCTGTTGTTAAACCTGATTCTTATTCTGTTATTTTATTATTATAAATAATGATAAATATTTTGAGAGCAAGAAAAAATAAAAATGTGAATAAATGCTAGTAAAAAAAAAATAAATCAATCCATGCTACAAAACGTTACATATCAAATATTATAACTTAAGATATTACAAAGAATGCATAATAGAACAGATAAACAATTATTCGTCTTTATAAGAAGAAAAAAAAAATAATAAATAAATAAATATCGAAAATATCACGGAATAAATTTTATTCTACAATTTTCTCATTTTTCTCATTATTAATGCTTTCAGCTCAGCTGTTGCTTATGTATATACCTATTTTCGTACAAAGTGTACATCTAATATAAGATAAACATATATTTATGGAAATTGATAAATGACGATAAATATGTATATATGCGCAATTTATGACCTTCATGACTTCATGACTTTCATGACTCGGAGTACGTGAAACTCCAGACCGAAAAATAATATCAAAAATTTTGAGGATATCGAAATATCAAAAGAGATATCATGCGCATGACTGTGAGATATTGAATTAATAAATTAATTTAATTAATAATAAATTATTAAAATCAAAAGATGATGCTTATTTCATATATTTCATCATCATTTATTATGAAAGATTATAATAAATTCAATGAATTACTGAATTTAAAAAAGTTACTATTAACCGTTATTAACCGAACCGTGCGCAGGATGGACGAATGAATGAAAAAATAAAATAAGATATGAATATAATTTGTTATAGAGGAAGATATATAAATCCGTTGATCCTTTTGATCAATCGGAAGAAATAAAACAATGATTAATTACATATATTATATTTATCAATTAATAAATAATAAATTATAGCATTCATGGAATTCACGGAATCCACATGGTATAATTGACTATATATAAAATGTCGCAAAACCCACGAACTCCGTGGAACAAGATTATCATTCAAAATAAAATTATTTCAATTCTTTTGCGATCAAATAATAATAGAATAATAATAATAATAAACAATTTTACGCCGAAAAACCCGAAAACCCTCGCAACTGCTCATATAAAAAAATGATATCAATTCTTATAAACACACTCTCTCACTCTTCTCTTTATGTTTCTCATTTTGCATTATGATCAACTCAGATCGGAATTTCTTTAAATGCAAACTCACAAATCGAGACCTCTGTTATACATAACACAGCCCTCAAATAAAACGATGTAAAAGGGGTATTAATATACTATTTATATCATGTGCCTTCCAAATTTAATTGATTAAATGGTGATTTTTTCTTTTCAAAAATCATTTACGGAATTCTCTTTTCTTTTACATTTTTTTACATTTTTTTCTTCTCCTTCTTTCTCCTTCTTTCTTTTTCTTCTTTTTTATTTTTGTTAACTATTACCACACAGTACAAGTAACTATCTTAACTGTCTGTATAAAGATTTTTTGTTATAATAATAATAATAATAATAATAATAATTTTATTTCATGGAAAAAAAAAGTATTAACAATAACAACGGAAACGGTGGAATTTTATTTCAAGATAATAACAACAATATTAATAATAATATTATTAAATCATCGTTCCTAGAAGAAGAAATTTATCGTAATAGAAATATTTTAAAATTTCGTTGTAAGAACGTAAATTGTCACCGGTTGATCCTTGGTGATGATTATAATAATAACAATTATAATAATGGATTAGTAAACAGCGGCGATAATGGGGAATACTGTAATTATTGTATGATGATGATGTTTTGTAAAATGACTCAATCAGTTAATCCAGTCAATCCAGTTAATCCAGTCAATCCAGCTAATTCGGTTGATTCAGTTAATTCAGTTCCTTCCGCAGAGATCAATAACCCAAATTATTTTGTTGACAGAGAACCCAATAACAATAACAATAATAATAATAGTAATAGTAGTAATAGTAATGGGAATAATAATATTATTACTATTAATAACAGCGATCACCAACGGCAGCAAAATCAATTTTCACAATTTCCACAATATTCACAGTTTTCTCGAGAAAACGATTTATCTCAGGATCAAAATAATAATAATAATCAACAATATAATCAATATAATCAAAAACAACAATATAACTTATACAATCCGTTGTTCCAATATCAAGATGAAAATACGAAATCTTCTTCATTACAGCAACAACAACGACAACAACATCAACAAAAGATACAACAACAGCAGCAGCAACTAAAGTTACAGATTCAACAGCAGCAGCAACAGTTACAAAAACAGCAACAACAACAACAACAACAACAACAGCTTCAACAAAAGCTACAGCTTCAACAACAACAACAGTTAAAACAACAGCAACAATTTCAACAAAAGTTGCAGCTTCAACAGCAACAAAAGTTACTGCAACAACAGCAACAACAAAAATTACTGCAACAACGGCAGCAACAACAGTTAAAGCAACAACAACAGCTGAATCAGCAACAGCAACAATATAATAATATCCAACATAATTACAACGATAATAACAATCACAACGATCACAATAATTACGATAATAACAATAATAGTAATAATAAAAATAATAGTAATAATAGTAATAATAGTGTTGGTATTCAAATACCAGATCAAGCCTTTCCTTTTTTTCCCGGTACAAATGAAAAAGGGGACATCAATTATTCAGATTCAGAAATAAAGAATCAAGAATTGTCTGTTGTTGATAAAAATACTATACATTCCGATCCGAGTCAAACAAATCCAATAAGCACAAATACAACGGATCCAAATCCTACAAATTTAAAAAATTCAAAAAATTTAAATCCGAATCCTACGAATAAATTAAATTCATCAAGTCAACCAGATTTAACAAATCAAGTAAATTTAAATCCAATAAATTTCGATTCAAATCTTGCGAACATTTCAAATTCATCAACCCGACCAGATTTAACAAATCAATTAAATATAAATATTTTAAATCAAATGAAACGAAAAAATTTAACAAAACCATATTTTAATCCAAATTCATACTCGATGCCAAGTTTAATTAATCCAACAAATATAAACAGTTCAATGAAATTAATGAATCGAACAAATTTAAACCCGGAAAGTTTATATTTAAATCCAATAAAACCAGCAAATGTATTTTTAAATCCAATAAAACCAAGTCCAGGAACATATCCAATGAATCAAATAAATCCAATGAATCCAATAAATCCAATAAATCCAATAAATCCAATAAATCCATTAAATCCTTGGACAACAAATTATCTGAGATATCTAAATAACATCAATAACAACATGAATAACAACATGAATAACAACATCAATAACAACATCAACAATATCAATAATATTACAAACTTACAAAATTATGATATTAAAAACTTTTATAATAATAATAATAATAGTAATAGTATCATACAATGTTCATCATGTTTGTCATATAATAGTTCTAACGATAGTCGATGTAAGGCATGTCATGAGATATTACTTTGGCCGTCGTCGTCGTCGTCTTCATTATCATCGTTATCATCATCATCATCATCATCATCATCATCATCGTTGTTATTTCCAGAATTTGGAAAAAAACAAAATGATGTTCCTGATCTCATCATAATGACTAAATGTCCTCTTTGTGCTAATATAACGGATTCAAGATTTGTCAGATGTGAATTTTGTCTTGGAACATTATTACCAAAACTTATCAATAAACAACAATTACAACAATTACAATTACAACAACAACAACAACAATTACAACAATTACAACAACCACAACAATTACAATTACAATTACAACAACCACAACAATTACAATTACAATTACAACAACAACTATTACAATTACAACAACACCAACAACAATTACAACAACAATTACAACAACCACAACCATCAACTCCACAACAAGTTATTGACACCACCGCCACCATTAATTCTTCTTCTTCTTCTTCATCTTCTTCATCCAGAAAGAAGCGTGCAATTAAAACTCAAATGACAGTTCTTTCACCTCAACATCAAGAATATATAAACATTAGTCATTTCTTTCTCACCGGATTACCTAATTCCAAGATTCAGGCGATTATTCGTTTACAGATGCCACATAAATTAGTAACCGCTCATGAAAATTATAAAAAAGAGATAGCATTAAAACGTTTTATTCAAAATAACATTAATAATAATAATAATAATAATAATAATAATAACAATAATTCGGAGAACATTAATAATCTTAATGATAATACTTATAGAATGTTTCACGGTACAAAAATATTTTGTAATCCACAAAGATTTATTGATGGTGATATTTCTTTTTGCACTACGAGATGTGGTTTATGTGGAATCTTACAACATGGTAATCAACGAAAACATTCAAGATTTAATGGTCGTAAGTATTATATTACATTATATCTAATATTTGATATTTATATTTTTGGTACTCATATTAATTATTAATTATTATTATTTTCATTACAAGGAATGTGGTTTGCCAAAAGTTCCGAAATCTCTCTGAGATATTGTGGAATCTCTTTACAGAGATATACTCCTTTCATTTCAGGTAGTGTTGGAATGAAAGCTATGTTTGTGGAAGATGTGATCTCGCTAACTCCAGGAAATATTATAATAGTGGATAAAAATGCGGTAAATGTTTTTAATTGATTTAATTGATTTAATTGATGATTTTTTTTTTTAATAATCTAAGTTTATTAATAATATTTATAATTTTTTATTATTTGTTAGGCTACACTTCCGCGATATTTAATTTTATTTGATAAATAGTAATTTGGGTAATCAAATCAAATATTATTATAAAATTTTGTAATTTTAAAGTTTGAAATTTTTTTTTTTTTTAAAAAAAATTTGTACATGAATTGAATAATAGAAATATTATTATTATTTTTTTTTTTGATGTAAATTTATTATTATTATTTTTTTTTATTATTTAGATATTTATTTTTTTTTTTGATATATATATTTTTTTTTTGTAAGATTTGGTTTGTCACACATAAATTAAGCATTTAGTCATGTTTATTTAATTCCTGAATTACTTTAATTACTTTTTGCATAAATGATTTAATAAAGATGGAAACGTGTAACATCAAATTACCTTAAATTTTCTTTTTTCAAATTACTTCATTCACCAAAAAAATTGTGCAAATAAAATAAAATTTTTTAGCACTGTATATTACGCTACGTGGATTGGGTAAGAATGGTCAACATGAAATAATATTAAAAATGTTTTGATGCAAATTTGAATGAATACATAATACGCGCAAATATTTGTCACCCGTGTCACAACTTCTGAATTCTGTCATATATTATTATTTATAATTAAAAAAAGAAATAATGGCAAATCATTTGAGAACGACTCATGATTCAGGTTCAGTCTCATTTTATGGAATAACAAAGGATTCAAGAAACCAACAAATATATGATGATTTTTGAGTTATCATTAAGTTTTTATAAATTTGATATTATAAAAAATAATATTTCTACGTTATTAGATATTTATTTTTTGATTTATTTTTTTTTTTGTTGTAAGATTTGTCACACAAATTAAGCATTTAGTCATGTTTATTTCAATTCCTGAATTACTTTTTTCATAAATGATAAAGATGGAAAACGTGTAACACCAAATTACCTTAAATTTCTTCGTTGAACGAAATGAAGCATAGCATTTAGTCATGTTTATTTAATTCTTGAATTATTTTTGCATATCAAGATGGAAAGCGTGTAACAACAAATTACCTTAGATTCTTTGTTGAACGAAAAAAAAAAAATTCGACAAAATTTTTTCTTTTTGAAATTACTTCTATTCATTAAAATGGATTTATGTAAAAAATGCAATCAAGGAAATACTACCTGGTATTGGTGCAAACCGTGCTACTCGACCCATTTTAAAAATGATTTTGATAAATGGACAAGTGGAAATGAAACAATTGATAAATTTATTCGTGATGCTCAACTAAATGCGGATGGGAAGGAAAAGTTATTAGAATGGATACCTTTCGATAGATTTCAAAATATTAAAGAAATAGCAAAAGGTGGATTTAGTACTGTATATTGTGCTACGTGGATTGATGGAGAAATTAAGTGGTGGGATATTGAAGAACAGCAATGGAAAAGATATGGTCAACATAAAGTGGTTTTAAAAATGTTTGATGCGAATTTAAATAAAGAATATTTAAATGAAGATTTTTTAAATGAGGTAAAGTATTTTTTACATAAACGCGCAAATATTTATCACCCGTGTCACATCTTCTGAATTTTTTTGAAAAACATATTTGTCATCCAATTCAATGTTTGTTACCCAATGTGTCAAAGCGCAAATATTAATTATAATTAAAAAAACGTTATTTAGATGGCAATTCACTCGAGAACGAATACGACTTCTATCTGCTCAGTCCCATTTTATGGAATAAGCAAAGATCCGGAAACTGACAAATATATGATGGTTTTAAATTACATGCCTGGTGGAAATCTTAGAAATCATTTAAAAAATAATTTTAATAATTTAAATTGGGAAAGTAAATTATATTCTTTATGGGAGTTAGCATATTGTCTTGAAAAATTTCACGTTTTAAATGTAGTACATCGGGATTTTCATCCTGGAAATATTTTATTATTTGGTGGGGAGAATTTGTGTATTTCAGATTTCGGTTTAAGTAAAATAGTTGAACAAAATTCAAAAAATCCCGAAGGAACTATTTTCGGAGTATTACCCTATATAGCTCCCGAAGTATTATGTGGGGAAGAATATACCAAAGCAGCTGACGTTTATTCTTTTGCTATTATAATTTATGAAATAATTACTGGTTTTGCACCATACTATGATATTCCACATGATAAAGATTTAGCCAGACAAATATGTGATGGATTACGACCAAAAATTCCAATTCACACTCCAAAATTAATTACACAAATAATTATGCGATGTTGGGATGCCCGAATTACACATCGACCTACTTTTTCCGAATTAGAAAAAGAGTTGAATAAATACAATTGTGATTATAAAAAGAATGATTTTAAAAATGATAATGAAATTACGATTCAAATTGAAAATGATGTAAAATCTCCAAGATATTTATCACCAAATACAACCGACCTAACTCCAATGAATTATAAAACACATCCGGAAGCAATTTTTACCAGTAGACTTCTCAATTATCCAAGTCTTCCAAAACCTAGAAATGATGAAAATTATGAAAAAGAAACCGAACCCATTTCTGTTTTAAGTGTGGGTAAGTATTAATTATATTAATTTATATATATCTATTATTCTTCATAATTAAAAATATTAATTACTTTTTATTACTATTTTTATTTAGTCGCATCTGGGCCACATGACACTAATTTTTAAATATTTTAAATAAATTTTTATAAATAATTTTTATAAATAAGTTTTTATAAATTTGATATTATAAAAATCTTAACCTTATTTAAAAATGTAGTCGAATTTATTATTAAACATAAATTTATAAAGAATCATTGCCTCACTTTTTAATTAATCTTACGTTGATAAATCAATGGAATTAAATAATTTAAAAAAAAATTTTAAATGCGATGCGTTATCTTTTTTCACTATGGTAGATTTTTAATTTCATCACATCATAATCCTGATAGACATCTGAACCAATAACTATTAGAGGCATATACTATAACGCAACCAAAAAAGGATTAAGTTTAAACATTAGCCATCAGGATTTTCATCCCGGAAACATTTTATTATTCGATTCTAAAGACATTAAGTAAAATAGTTGGAAAATCCAGAAAAAAGATTGTGTGCGCAGCGGATGTTTATTCTTTTGGAAGAGATTTGCACCATACTATTATATTCCACATGATAGAGAATATGCGAGATGGTCAAAATCAAACACATGATATATATAAAATGCTATGTAAGAATTAGAGTGATATGTAATTATCGTTAATCTATATGTTGTTATACCTGAAAATATTTCCGAATTGATCATCACCAGTGATATTGATTATTATTGGCTATTGATTTTTTAAGTTAAAAATGGCTGCATAAATGTTTTAAAAAAACGTCAGATAAAGGTATTTCATTGTTCAATGAAACCTGTGTATTCATGATATTAACAAATGCTATTCAGATGATTTTTTCTATCACCGATCGTTACCTATTTTTTGATATATCTTCTACCTATTTTTGTTAAATTATACAGAATATCTGAAAATTCCCTCCATTGAAGTTTATTATGTTATTGGTAGAACCCGAGACTTGAACCTGTATCCATACAAGTAAATTCTGGTATTTTTTTTGAGGTTTTATTTTTAATTATTATTTCCTACCAACTTCCAACTTGTTTACATCTTGACTTTTCATTCCCTCGTGTGATATTAACTAATTCATTTTGGGGAAATTTGTGCATTGATTAAATTGAATTGTTATTTTTAATGATGTGTAAATTGAATTTTGAAATTTCCCTTAAATGTATGATCATCTTTATTTATTTATAAAAAACAGGTATTAGTTATTATTAATCACAATATTACATTATATTATTATATTATTATATTATTATAATTATTATATAAAAATGTCATATTTTAAAAAATTCGAATTTGGTGAAACAGTTTTTTGTTCGATAAAAAAGAAAAAAATGGCGTTTATCTTTTTTTCACTTTTCTTTTTTATTTCTTTTCTGGTAAGTTTTTTTTTTTTCTCCAAAGAATACAATATTTACTTACATTACTTTTCTTTTATTTCTATTTTAGTGAGCAAATTTATATATTGCATATATATATATATATATATATATTTTTAATGAAGTATAAATTAATTAAAAATGATTTATTTTAGTAATATTTTAATAGGAAGAGAAGGAGGGTCATCTTATAATATTTTGTAATATTTTGTAATGGATGATATTATAAGAGAGTCAGCAGTTAATGAACCATTAATATCCAATGAAGATGGTGGTGATGATAATCCTTCAATAATTTCTTCTTCTTCTTCTCCTTCAACTACATTTAATATTCCAAAAAACAATAGAAGATGGACAAATTCTCCAGGAGTTAAAATAAATTTACAACGTAATCGTTCGTTAAATGACTATTATTCATCAAAACAGAGATCATTGTCATCTAACAAACTTATTAGTGAGGATGATAATTATATTGATAAATTTATGCAACCAAGTCAACCAAGTCAAATGACTATGCCCTCATTTTTGAATAGAAAAAAAACCATAAAGAAGGTGAAGAATAATGATGATTATATTCAAATGTCAAATGTTCAGGATGAACAAGAAGAAGAAATCGAAGAAGATGAAGATGAAGATGAAGATGAAGGAATAGAAGAACAATTTGTACATATTAATAAAGAATTCTTTCATATTAACAATAATAATAATAATGACACGACAAAAAATACAGATCAAGCACAAGATAAACCTAATCGATTAATGACTCTCAAACATTCAAAAAGTATTCGTAGAATGAGTAAAGCAGTTTCACGAGTTTCTACTAGAGTTGTAAATTTAGGAAATTTATCAACAATCACAACAGCAACACCCAAAACAGATAATGCTTCTTCCCCTTTAAAACCATCAAAGTCTTTAAAATCTTCAAAATCTTTAAAAAAATCTAAAAAGACTTTAACCTTTATGAATGAAGAATTTATTTCAACACAACAACAAGAAGATGAACAACAACAAGAGCAAGAACCACAAAAACAACAACCAGAACAACAAATACATCAAAGAAATGTATCAGGATTTTTATCAGGAGATGGTCAAAAGAATTATAGACAAAGTAATATGAATTCACAATATTCTTCTTTAAAAAAACCACTATTAGAAGGATATTCTTTATACATTTTTTCACCAAAAAATCCATTAAGATTAGGGTTTTATTATATATTGAGTCAACCGTATGTATATTTAAAATTTATATTACTTTTTTCAATAATTAAAATTAAAAAAAAAAACAAATCAAATTAATTTATATATATATATGTATATATATATATATAGATGGACAGAACCAATAATATTATTTCTTATAGTAATTAATATTATACTTTTAATAATCAATGCATGGAATCCCTACGTTGATAATCCAAATGGTCCAACTGTACCATTAAATAAATGGGGTAATTCTTGGACTGATTATGGTTTATTGATTGTGTTTATAATATTTACGTATGTGTTTTTTTTCTTTTTTTAATTCTTTTTATATTTGATTATATTCACATATAATTTTAATTTAATTAATTATTATTTAGATTTGAAATAATAGCACGAATTATTGTGTCCGGATTAATTTTTGAACCGGAAGATATAGAAATTTTAGATATTGATGAACTTAATAATTATAATAATTTTCATCGAGAGACATTTTATAATACACCATTTCTTCGTCGTAGTTTCAATAGAATAGATATTCTTGCTGTTTGTAGTTATTGGATAGATTTATTACTTACAATGGTTGGAGTTCAACATTTTTTATTATTTAGAGCTTTATCAACTTTGAGGTATGAAAATAAAAATTTTTAAAGAAAAAAATTCATAAAAAATTATTTATTAGATTATTTATTAATTATTCATTCATTTACAATATATATATTAGATGTGCTCGATTATTATCTTTGACAAGTGGAACTTACACGATATTTCAATCCTTAAAAAAAAGTCTTCCATTATTAGTCAATGTGTCATCATTTATTGGATTTTTCTTTATTATTTTCAGTATTTTGGGAGTACAAGCTTTTCGAGGATCATTTTCTCGACGTTGTGTATCATCTTTTAATGAGAATGGAACATTACCTGATTTAAATTCTCAAGATTACATTATTCAAGATCGATTTTGTGGAGGATACGTTGATGAGAATGGAAAAACAATGCCTGCTGTTGGTTCTAATTTAGTTTATGCTAAAGGATTTATTTGTCCTATGAATCAAATTTGTATGGTAAATAATTAATTAATTTATAATTTAAATTATTTAAATTATTTATGATTATTTGTAATTTAAATTAATTAATTTTATGAATATATAGTCAGTAGATAATCCATATAATGACATGGTATCATTTGACAATGTTTTATATTCATTTATTTTGGTCTTTGTAATATCTACAAGTAAGTTATATCAAATTTTTGCATCTTTATAACATTTCATAACATTTTAATAATATTTTATAATATTTTTTATATTTTAAAATATTTTTTTAATATTTTTTATATTTTAAAATATTTTTTTAATATTTTTTATATTAATATTTATAATATTTATAAACTTTTTATATAGCACAAAACTGGTCAGACCTCATGTATAAAATTATGGATGCAGAATATGATTGGTCTAGTTTATACTTCGTGATAGCAGTTATAATTTTAAATTATTGGTTAATCAATTTATTTGTGGCGGTGATTACAACAATGTTTGCTAAAATTCGTGAGGATTCTTCACATTCCGCATTTACATTATCAAAGCAAGTGATATTTTCATTTTTCCATTTTTTTTTTTTTGATTGTTTTTAATGGTTGATGGTAAATGAGATAATTTAATAAATTATTTACTTATATTTATTTTATATTTATTTTATATTTATTTTATTTATATTTATTTTATTTATATTTATGTTACAATTATTTTTTTATAGACGTACACCAATTCTCTTAGATGATAATGAAGGTTGGAAATTCAATGATGATCGACAATTTTATCAACAAAATCCTTTAAATAATATATTGAAACAGACTCATTATGTGTGGATATTATGTATTTTTATTGATATATTTATTATGGCATTTAAAAGATCAGATTTAAATGGAAAATCTTCTTCATTTATTGGTAACATCATTAATTATTATTATTTTTATATTATTATTAAATTTTATATTTATTTTATACTTTATATTTTATTTGTTTTTTTATAGATCATACCGAAATTGCGGTTACGACAATACTTACTTTTGAAATTTTATTAAGATTCTTTTCATTTCATCCCAAATATCAATTTTTTTTCTCATCTAAACAAAATTTGGTGGATCTATTTTTGGTGATTGCTACATGCACAATTCAAATTCCCACTATTAGAAATTCTACTGCATATAATTATTTAACAATTTTTCAAATCGCTCGAGTGTATCGAGTTTTAATTGCAATTCCACGTTTACGAGATTCTTTGGTAAATTATTTTTTTTTATGTAATATTATTTATTTATTTCATTTATTAAATCTTTTTCTTACATTAATAGATTCGTGTCTTAGGTAGTGTAGCAGGTATAGCCAACTTGATTTTCTTTACTCTTATGGTTAATTTCTTTGCAGCTATATTTGTAAGTAATTTTGAAATAATTGTAAATCCTATTAAGTAATATTAAGTAATAATATCAAATAATATATAAGTAGCAGTAAAAAGTAAACATTATTATTGTTATTATTATGATGTTAGGGAGTTCAATTATTACGTGGTGTCATTCCTTCTAATAATCCGGATGGAGATTCCAATGTTATGCGTTTTAGTGATATTTTTAATAGTTTTCTTGCTCTTTATCAGGTAATTGATTATTATTTATTTATTATTTATTAATTGATTATTATTGTTATTGGTTATTATTATTGTCTAATAATTGTATATTTTATTAAAAGCTCTTTTCCGGAGAAGATTGGACAACGGTTTTATATAATGTATTAAATTATGAATCTATTATTGGTTCTCGCGTTACTGCCTTAATATCTGCTTTCTTTCTCATATTTTACGTTAGTTTATCGAATTGTAAGTATTAATGATTCATTTACATTTATTTCATTTATTTCATTTATTCATTGCATATTTATATTCACCTTCATATTATTATTACATTATATTTGATATGATTATAATAACAATAATATATAATAATAATAATAATAATAGTAATAATAATAATAATACTAATATGACATCATCACTTTTATTTAGTTATTCTTTTAACAATGTTTATCGCTGTCATATCCGAAAATTTTGACACAGCAGAAAAAGAGAAATACAAAAAACAAGTTGAAAGTTTTCGTCGTAATATGAATTTTTCAGATAAAGAGGAAGTCACTTATAAATGGAATATTTATAGATATTTTCAAGCTAAACCCAAAGCTTTAGCCGTTCAATCTTTTCCTTCAAATTTAGTATTACAAATACAAAAATATCGTGTTCGAGATTTCCTTTTCGATAATAATCATAATAAAAAACAACATTTTGATAAAAAGGTATTTTTATAATTATTTTAAATTGAATTAATATTTTTTTAATTTGATATTTTAACTAATTAATTACTTTAAATTTAATTATTATTTTTTTAGAATCATCAAGATTCTATTGTCTCTTTTGGTATGCCTAATAACTTTGTTACCCGTATCAAAAGATTCTTCGGATTTGAAATTGATTCAGATGAAATTTATAAAATTCATTTAAATGGGACCAAAAAACGAAATTCTGATTTCGAAAAGTCACGAGGAATTACTGGAAATTTGTAAATATTTTATGCACAAAAAAGAAATATACATATATTCTTATATATATTTATTAAATTATTAAAATATTAAATATGAAATATGTTATATTAATATATTTTTAATTTTTTCTATTATTTTTTAGAGACAATGAACAAAAATTTAGTGAAACTTTTCTTGATGATTATCAAGAACGTCGAGCATTAAAAGCTGATTTCATTGCAGCTCATCCTAATTATGATCTTTCACTTTGGTCTTTATCTCATAACAATCGAATTCGTCGATTTTGTCAACGACTTGTTCCTTCCAGTCATGGTGAACGTATTTATGGAACTCCTCCTTCCGAAACTTTGAGTTTTTTATTCAGTTCCTTTATTTATATATGTATTATCGTTAGTGTAGTTCTTGCAACTATCGCAGTTCCATCTTATATTAAACAATATTTGGCTATTAATGATTCTTATGCAAGATTTACTTGGTTTTGGTGGACAGATGTAGGTCTAACAATAATATTTACCATCGAATTTATTATTAAAATTATTGCTGATGGTTTCCTCTTAACACCAAATGCTTATATGTTTAATGTTTGGAATCAATTAGATTTATTTGTTCTAATAACTTTTATTGTGAATACTGCTATTGGACCTAGTGTTAGTTCTTCAAGTATTTCAAAATTATTTCGAGCTTTGAAAGGATTAAGAGCACTTCGATTAATTAATTTAACAAGTTCGGTGAAAGAAAATTTTTATTCAATTTTGATTTCGGGAGCTCCTAGAATTTTTGATGCAGCAGTCTTATCAATTAGTTTAATTATCCCTTTCGCCATATATGGAACAAATATTTTCTCGGGTCTATTTTATCAATGTAATGATTTTGGGGTTGCCAATAAAACTCAATGTATAGATGTATATAATCAATCACCATTTCAATGGAATATTCTTACATCCAGAATTTGGTCAAATCCTTATGGATTTAGTTTTGATAATTTTGGAGTTAGTTTACAAATATTATTTGAAATTGTATCAGGAGAAGGTTGGGTTAATGTTATGGAAAGATCGATGGTAATTTCGGGTATCGATTTACAACCTTTACCTCAACCAAATTCTTCTCCAGCCAAATGGAATTCATTATTTTTCATGGTATATAATTTGGTTGGGGCAGTTTTTGTATTAACATTATTCGTTAGTGTTATCATTGCCAATTATAAATCAAAATCTGGTACAGCATATCTTACTCAAGAACAAAAAGGTTGGATAGATCTTAAAAGATTATTAAAATTAATTAAACCATCAAAAAGACCAACGAATAGACCGACAAGTAGATTTAGAGGCCTTTGTTATGATTATGCATCTAAAAAGAGGGGAAGTTTCTCTAATTTTATTACTAGCATATATATTTTTCATATAATTTTATTAATGACTGAAAATAGAACGTCAATACCTTGGTTAGATACTTTAAGAGGTTGTTTAAAATTCTTCTATTATTTTATTATTATTTTATTATTATTTTATTATTATTTTATTATTATTTTATTGTTATTTTATTATTAAAGTTTTTATTTTGGTCGTGTTCAAAATTATTGATTTTAATTTAAAATTTTTTTTTTTTTTTTTTACATTTACAGTTGTCTTGTTTTTCCTATTTATAATGATTTACATTACCGAATTATTTATTAAATTATTTGGATTTGGATGGAATGTATTTAAGAGTAATCGATGGAATGTTTTTGATATTGTAATAGTATTTGGAGCACTTATCACCACGACATCAGAAATGTTTCATTTATTCAATAGTGAAATTGAAATTGTTCCAAGAATTCAAAAAGCATTTCTATTGATGATTACTTTTAAATTATTTCAAAAGAGTGATACGATGAATCAATTATTTAAAAATATGATGTAGGTGTAATTTATTTATTTATTGATTTAGTTATTTATTTTAATTTATTTTATTTTACTTTATTTATTTTCTATTCTTACATTTATTTCTATATAATTTAGTGGAAGTTTGCCTTCAATATTTAATTTATTTGCAGTATGGTTCATTATATTTATTGTTTATTCAATTATGTTTATGGAAATTTTTGGACTTACAAGATTTGGACCAAATGGAAGTGAACATGTAAATTTCCGTAATTTCGGTAATGCAATGTTGACACTTGTTAGAATGTCCACGGGGTAAAATATCCATTTCCTTAATTTAATTTTTATTGTATTTATTATTATTATTATTATTATTATTATTATTATTATTATTATTATTATTATTATATATTTATTTTATATGTATTATTATATTATGTGTATTCACATATATATATATATATATATATAATATATAGTGAGGCTTGGAATTCAATTATGCATGATTACACCGTAGAACCACCATATTGTGTATATAATAATTCTTTTCTTTATTCTGATTGCGGAAGTACCGGATGGGCTTATTTCTTATTTATCACTTGGAATGTGTTATCAATGTATATTTTCGCCAATATGTTTATCGTCGTTGTTACAGAAAATTTTTCTTATTGTTATCAAATTGCTGATGAATTATCTTTGGTTAAACGGGGTGAAATAAGAAAATATCCTTTCTTTTTTCTTTTATATTTGATATTATATTATGTCATATTATGTTATATTATATCATATTATACTATGTTATACCATGTTATACTATATTTAAGAATTTTATCCTTAATATTTAATTTTTTTATTTATTCATTTACATTTAAGAAAGCTTGGGGTTCAGTAGATACAGAAAGAACGGGGTACATCAAAAGTACAGATTTTGGAAGATTCTTTTCAGTATGTAAACGAACGAATTCAAAAGCTGTTTTATTCATTTTATTTAATTCTTTATTTAATTAAACATTTCAAATGTCATCACCATTGTAAAAAAATATATATTTAGAAACTTGAAGGATCTTTTAGAGTTCGAATTTATGATGACGAATTTCTTGTACCAAATTTAATTAAAAATTCACGTGTTGTACATACTTTTAATGAGAACACTCAATTATGGGGTATTAGTAGTAAACGAAGAAGACGTGTTCTTGAAGTTGGTAATTTGGATGTCGTAAAATTAGAACGTCATTTAAGTAGAATTTCTTATAATAAAGTTTGCGAAAGACGAAATGTATATAACAATATTTATCAGGTATAATATTAATTTCATATTTCTCTATACATATAAAACTATCTCTCCCTTTCTATATATAACGTATAATATTCTTTTGTTTTCATATTTTTGTAGGAAGCTTTATTATCAATTGAAAGAGAAGCTAATGGGAACGAAAGAGGAATTTCATTTACTAATATGCTCATATTACTTGCTCATTATAAATTAGTTGATGATGACAAATGCTTAGAGTAAGTTTATGAAAAGACTCCTTTTGTGAACTTTCCGTTCTTTAATAAATAAATATAAATAAATATAAATAAATATATATATATATTAATATTTTTTAATTTGAAATAATAATAATAATAGAATTCAGGAATTTGTTAAAAGAAAGATCCAACGAGAGAGAGTTGTTGATAATGTTAATCGAGAACGTGTGAAATCATTGTTACTTGCAATTTATTGGCGAGGAAAATATAAAAAATTTAAAGAATCCCAATTTTCCAATCATCCTAATGATTCAGATGATTTTGGTAAATATCCGAATTAATTGAACTTAATTTATATTGTCAACAAAAGACTTTTAAATTTTATTAAAATGTTAATTAAAATTTTGGAATATTAAAAAAATTAGTCCCTCAAATTATGGTTGATCCGGTTGACAGGATTAGTGTCAGCAGAGAAGAACAAAAAGATCCTAAAGGAAAAATGAGCTCAAATCTTATAATTGATACAAATATTATTTATTCATCATCATCCTCATCATCACCTTTACGAATTTCTACACATCAAATTTCTCCACCTACACCAAATACTTCGAGGAATTCATTTTCGGATTATTTCAGTTTTGATAATAATAATAATAATAATAATAATAATAATAATAATAATAATAATAATGATAATAATAATAATAATAATAATAATGATAATGGTGAAAGTTCACAAAGAAATAATATGTAAGAAATTGTTTATTCATTTTCAATTTTATTTTTGTTTTTATTTTTATTTTTCAGCAAAGAGAATTCACTTTTAACTTTATTTTCATTTAATCAGATCGTCGGAGAATCTTACTTGGGATTCTATTGATGCAAATATTGAGATGGATGATCAAACCGCAAATCAAATGTTAACCACATTTCAAAGTACTCATTGGCATGGTAATTATTTTGACTTTTAATTTAATTTTTTTATTTTTTTATTTTTATTTTTCTTTAAGCTTATTCTTTATTCTTTTTTTTTTTTTTATAGATGTTTTACAAGAAATTTCTCTAGAAAATTTAAATGAATCCGCATCACAAGAACATTCAGATAATAACATATAATTCTCACATTTTATTTTATTAATTAAATTATTTTAATATTTTTATGTATTTATATAAAAAAAACCATTTGTAAGTCATTTATGGCAATTGTACAACAGAAAAATTCGACAATTTCATTTTTTTTCAACTATTTCATTCATCTAAAATTGTGCAAATAAAATGAATTTATAATTTATAATGTTATTTATGTGAAGAATGGCGTTGTTGTTGTGTACACTGCTACTCGGCACATTTTGAAAAAGATTTTGATAAATGGATAAAATTTATTCGTGTTGGTCAACTAAATGCATATAAAATAAACAAATAAATCCAATAGACTGGATCAATTATGAATTGGCCAATCACCTATTACTGATCAATTATAGTTACCTGAAATGTCCTATTCTTGCAAATTTAAATGAAATTTTGTAAATTTATTTGTAAAAATTATTTTGATTAAAATATATATTCTTTATTTAGATGGTAATTCTTATGAACAATGAAAACAGATTTTTATTATTCAATTATATAATTTTATGAAATAGATATATTTTATTGGATAATAAATTCAGATTTTGGATTAAGTTAATAGAACAAAATTTAGAGAATCAAGGAAAGAGAAATATTTTTGGAGTATTCCTTATATAACTCCAAAGCAGCTGAAAATTATATGAATTTGCCACACAATTATTATTAACAATCAATTATGAGTGAATAAAATTTCAATTATTTATTTAATTAAATCAATTTTTCTGCATTGTTATTATTATCAAGATAAAAACTTTTGAAAAAAAATAAAGTTAGTGTAATTGAATTTAAAATATAATTAAGCGCCTAACAAAATAAATTTTTTACATGAAAGATGAGATGAATATTTTAATAATTAAAAAAAAAAAATATAAATTATTTAATAACCAAAATTCTATTTAAATTATAATATTATTTTTTCCTCTTTGACAAAGATTAAATTCAATTAAAAATAATTCTATTAAACATCACCTTTTGGTCTTTCAACTCTCTTAATTTCCCAATCATCATTGGCTTGTAATCTCTAACGAATTAATCAAATAATAATTAATTAATAATTAATTTGGATATTATTATTATATATTTGACTATGAAAAATTTTTACCCAATACTCTTCTTGAGCATTAAACTTTCGTTTATCTTTGTCAATTTTTAGTATTTGCTCCTTTTCAACCTGTTTTTTTTTAAAAAAAAAATATACATATATGTATATAAATTTACATGAATGAAATAAAATTTATTCAGAAAAAATCAATTTCTACTACTAACTTTTTTGGCTTTATTACTATGAACATCATATCTAGTTTGGGTTAAACGACTAAGAGCGAAAGAACCAACTACTAATGATAAAATCATTGGTAACCCAAAGAGGGCAAATGGGTGTTGTCGAATTATTTCATATTTAAATTTACGATGAAATTTCTTCGGAAATGGATTTGGATTCATTATATATTTTCATTCAGAAATTTTTTTTTTTTCTTGTTCACAGCCAATTATATCCAATTATCCAAATATTTTAAATCAGCCATAATCTTGGAAAAGTTAGTAAAAATTCTATCTGGTAATTGTCTTTGTTTCTAAATATCCTAAAAAAACAAGTTTTTCTTTTTTTCTTTTTTGGTAATTAAATGCTGATGCAATTTTATTGATCTATTGATATATTTATAATATAACAGATAATGAATATATTTATAATATAACAGATAATGAATATATTTATAATATAACATTTTATAATATATAACAGATAAATGAATATTATTTATTTAGGCGTAATTTGGAATAAATCGAATTTTCGACGGCGCACCAAAAATTAAAACAATCAAAACTGCATTTACTGGTGCCTTAAAATTATTGGACGTGCAGATGAAAGAATAAAAGGTTAATTTATTTTGACTTGTAAATAAAATAAAGATCTCGTTTTGCTTAAAAAATTTCATAAAAAAAATTTTTTTTTTTTTTTTTTTTCGTTAAAAAATTTTTTTAAAAAAATTTTTTTATAACAAATAATTTCACCCTGTGCAACAATTCCATGTTTGGGCAACCAATTTTAACCCATCCGCATTTTTGCTTCCCTACTTTAAACCAAAAAGCTCTATTATCACCATGTGGTTTAGAAACTTTAATTGGAATTACTTTATTAACTTATATAATATTTGGAATTATAAAGTGGACTTTATTAAGAGTAATATCACGCCGTAATCGTATAAATGGTACGTCTAATCTTTTCAACTTCTTTTTCACAATAATTTAGTTGAATATTAGTTGATTATTATAATTGAATATTTTAATAATGATATTAAATAATAATATCATTAAAATATCAATAAAATATATTAACATTATATTAATAATATATGAAAAATATATATATATATTAATGATACATTAAACAAAATATTTTATTTTAACAAAATATAATAATCATAATAATAATAAATAATTAATCGATTATTAATAATTTATAATTTATCTTTAAAAAGATAATGAAGAAATTTATAATAACCTAAGAATCAAAGGAATTAGAGGTTATCCAAAAACCTTAAATAAATTAGTAATTTCCATACAAGTTCTTGTTGGACTTGAAGCTTTATTAAATATAATATGTATAATGCTTATATTTTCTGAAAAAGAGCGCGTCGGAATAATGATTCCTTCATACATTATTATTTCTAAACTGATTTGTTCGATTGCTTGGATTATAAATTATACTTTGGTTTCAGCTGAGAGAAAAAAATGGAGTTATTTTACTCAGGGATTTTGGTATTTAGCATTTATGTTAATAAATATTGAATTATATAATAGATTAATGTATATATTAAATAATGATGATGATAATGATAACAATAACAACAATAACAATGATAATGATTATAATTGGACACAAAATTGGACATTAGTTATAATTTGCCTTTTGAGGTATGGAATTAATTTTATGTTGGTTGTATGCGCCACAACTTTAACATTTTTCTGGAGGCGATCATACGAATCTCAAGGATATGGAAATATTAATTTACAAGAGAATGATAATGATTCAGAATTACTGGATGATGATAATGATGAAGATCCATTAGATACTTCAGTAGAAGATCAACAAGAACAATTACAATCTTCAACTTCAGGATTTCAAAAACCAATAGTTGAAGATCCAAAATATCAACCACCTCACACTTTAAGTGACTTTTATTCAAAATTTAAAAAATTATTACCTTTTGTATGGCCATCTCATGATATCAAATTACAAATCGCAATTGTTATTTGTATGTTACTCTTAGTCATGGGACGTATTGTCAATGTATTACTTCCTTATCGTTATAAAGGACTTGTGGATCGTTTACAAGAAGAAGAAAAAGTTTGGAAAGAAATTTGGAAAGAAATTTTATTATTTATCGGATTAAGATGTTTACAAGGAGATGTAGGACTTGTTAATACTGCTCAAAGTTTATTATGGATTCCTGTTGGTCAGGTGATTTTTAATTTAATTTAATTTATTTGATTTTTATTTTAATTTAATTTAATTTATTTTAATTTTAATTTAATTTATTTTATTTTAATAATTTATTTATAATTTATTTATTTTTTTCTATTTAGTTCACAACAAGGGAAGTATCCGTTAAAATGTTTGAACATTTATTAAATTTATCATTACGTTTTCATCTTAATCGTAAAACTGGTGAAATTTTACGCGTCCAAGGTAATTAAAATAGTAATATATATATTTAATGAATAAAACAAATCATATGTTTATATAAATATATTTATAAATTATATTCTTCGTCATTTTATTCACATAAAGATCGAGGAGTCTCTTCTATTGTTTCAATTCTTTCTTCGGTCATTTTCAATATTATTCCAACTCTTGTTGATATTGTCATTGCAATTGTAATCTTTACTATCGCGTTTGATCTATTTTTTGGGATGATTGTATTTGCTACAATGTCTTTATACATTGTTAGCACTATTATTATGACTGATTGGAGAACAAAATATAGAAGATTAACTAATTTATTAGATAATAATATGGAAGCGAAAGCTGGTTTGTTATTATTATTTATTATTATTATTATCATTATTATTTATTATTATTATTATTATTTATAATCATTCCAACTAACAAATTTGTTCATTTTTCGTTTTTAGTTGATTCGCTATTAAATTATGAGACTGTTAAATTATATGCTGCTGAACCTTTTGAAGGTATATTTTTTTTTTTAAAAAAAAAAAATAGAATATTTCATATTTCTAATATTTCTAATATTTATTATATGTTATTATTCTCTTTATAGTTGGTCAATACACTCGAGCAATTCTAGATTATCAAAGTGCCGATCAAAAATCAAATTTCACTTTATATATTTTAAATACAGCTCAAAATTTAATAATTCAATGTGGTCTATTAGCAGGATGTATTTTATGTGCAAGTCGAATATCTAAGGGTGAAATGAATGTGGGAGATTTTGTTATGTACCTAACATATATATTACAATTATATGGACCTCTTAATTGGTTTGGTAATTATTATAGAGTTATTCAAAAAAATTTTGTGGATATGGAAAAGATGCTTGATCTCTTACAAGAATCTCCTGAGATTAAAGATTTACCTCAAGCTGATCCATTAGTAATTAAAAAAGGAGAAGTCATATTTGATAACGTGTCTTTTGGTTATAATGCCAAATTTCCTACTTTAAAAAGTATTTCATTTACTATTCCAAGTGGATCAACTGTTGCTTTGGTGGGTCCATCAGGTGGTGGTAAATCAACTATTATACGTCTTCTTTTTAGATTTTATGATGTTCAATCTGGTCGAATTCTTGTTGATGGACAAGATATTCGTCACGTTAAACAACAAGATTTGAGAAGTTGTATTGGTATTGTTCCTCAAGTAGGAAATTACTTTTGATTATTTTCTTCTCTGTTATTATTTTTTATTTATTTATTTATTTATTCATTCATTCATTCGTTTTTATTATGTTTTTGTAATATTCTATAGGATACAGTTTTATTCAATGATACAATAAAATATAATATTCGGTATGGTAAAATTGGAGCTAATGATAGGATGGTAGAAGAAGCTGCCAGAGCCGCTCAAATTCATGATAAAATTTTAGGTTTTCCCGAAGGGTATGGGACAAAAGTTGGTGAAAGAGGTTTAAGACTTAGCGGTGGTGAAAAACAGAGAGTTGTATGTTTTTCGTTTTTTTTTAATAATAATATATTTATATTTATATTTAAATTTGTTGTTTATTTAATAATAGAAGAATTTATTTTTTGTTATTTTATTTAATATTGTAGGCTATTGCAAGAACGATTCTAAAGGTAACTTTATTATTCATAATTAAAAATCCATTTCGTAAGGATAACTATTATAATGCTAAACAATATTATTTTCTTTAGAATCCACAAATTGTTTTGCTTGATGAAGCTACTTCTGCGCTTGATACTCGTACAGAAAGGCATATTCAAAAATCTCTTCGTAAAATGACTGTAAATCGAACGACATTAATTATAGGTATTAAATTACTAATAATTATATTATTATTATTATTTCATTGTGCTTATTCCCATTTATTCACATTAATTAACATTTATTTATTCGTCGTGTCACATCAGCACATCGTCTTTCAACTATTGTTCACGCTGACCAAATTCTTGTTTTACAAGATGGCGAAATTGTCGAAAGAGGTAAAGTAAAATAAATTTTTATAATGAATCTGATTGTATCATAATTGATTAAATAATTTTTTTCATATAATATAGGTTCGCATATAGAATTAATGCAAAAGGAAGGTGTATATTATAAACTTTGGAATAAACAATTAAAACACCATGAAAAGGTGAAAAAGGAAGCAGAAATTCATCAGCAGGATAGTGGTATTACCACTAAAGTTGCTTCTTCGGATTCTGCTTCAATTTCTAATACGATGCCTAGTGTTGATAGATTTATAAGGGAGGAAGAGGAGGAAGAAGAAGAGGAAGAATGTGGTGGTAGTGGCGATGATGGTAATAATACAAATGGAAAAGGTGTAAATAATAATTTAAAAGTCCCAAATAATAATAACAATAATAGCAACAACAAAAACAACAATAATAATGGATCGATAAGTTTTACTGAAGAAGGTGCTGATGGTGATGATGAGAGACAAACAACGACCCCATGTGAAAGCAGTGATGATGAAGGAGATGATACACAATTAAATGAACTTTAATATTTTTCATATTTTCATATGGTACAAAAATAACAAAACATTGTTAAAACTTTTAAATAATTATATTTTTTTTATTTGAATAGATAGATGTATAGATTAATATTTTTTAATAATAATATCACAAAATCTCATGATTGATATAAAGATAAAATTTGTCCCTTGCATTATACAGATAAACTGTATGGTACGAAACGCTATTTTGTACTGTACGAATAGTGACTTGTACGATTTATTTGTGGCTTGTACGGTTGATTAACTAATATCACGTGATATTTGTCATTAATTTTAACTGTGGGGAATTTTACCTAGATGATATATAAATGTGACTAAAGCTCCACATAGGTCTTAAGGCTCGCGAACCTAGCAAGCCGAGCCAATCCAAGCTGAGCCGAGCCTGATATTATAGGCTCATAGGCTCATGAGCCAAGCCCAACTAAGGCCTAGCTCACAAGGCTCGAACCTTAAAAATTTTGGGACTTTAAATAAAAGCCCACATAATTTTTTTTTAAAAAAAAATTATCCGTTGCTTATGAGCCTACTATGAAGCTCACGAGCCTACTATGAAGCTCGAGCCGAGTTGAGCCTATATAAGTAAGGCTCAGCTTGACTCGAGCCTAACTTATAAACTCAGGCTCGAGCTAAGCCTAAGACTTTTGGGTTCAGCTTAGCCTGAGCTTTATGAGACTCAGCTTGGCTTGGCCTATGAGAAGCTTTAAATGTGACAAATAATATTTTAGATCCAAAAAAATTCTAAGTCCTAAAAAATATAATAAAAATTGAAAATAAAATGTAACATCCCTAATTGATTTGTATGTGATACAAACCCTAACCTCTAAATTTGACATAATATATATTGCAAGGATTGGATTTATATTTAGTACTGTTTGACTTTTTAATATAAAAATACTTGTACTGTACAGTTTTTTAACATAAAAAAGTTCATACAGTACAATTAGATTTTTATAATATATATGTTATTATACAAATTTTGTACAAAAATTTATATAAAATTGTACAGTACAAAATAGCGTTTCGTACCGTACAGTTTATCGTCATATCTCAGAAATCCATTTTTGATAGGTATGACGATAAACTGTATGGTGTTACCCTTGGTTTTCTTCCGATTAAATAGTTATATTATTTTTTTTACTTTATTATTATATCTTATATTGTTAATATTATTTATTATTTATATTATTTAGTTATTTAGTTATATATAGTTATATTATTATTGGTATATTGTATTAGAGATGTTACACTAAATAAATCAATCAATGTAGCGATCTGTTACACTGTCAAAGATATTGTCAAAATTAATGTCAAGATTAGTGTCAAGGTTATTGTCAAGAACATTGGCAGAAACACTGTTAAGAACATTGGCAGAAATACTGTCAAGAACACTGGCAGGAATACTGACAAAATTATTAGTTATATAAAGGGTAAGTTTTCCTTTCATCCAAAGTAGAGATTGAAGATTTAAAATTTGAGAAGATCAAAATAACTAATAGTGTAAATTAGTTAAAATCTCTTATACTTGTAAATAT